TAATTTAGAATAAAATGACTTATGCTATACCTTTTATGCATGCCTGTCTTTTCCCTCTAATAAGGCCGAGAGTAGCTGGACTTGCCAATATCACTGTATTAGCAAAATCTGCAATAGAGCTGCAATTTGTATCAGCAAAAGACTTTCTTCCACTGTAACTTTCCTGGCTTCGTAAATGAAATATAAAGTCTCCTTCTGTTGGTATAAAAATGTCAGTTAGGATTGTGATTCTTTGAAGTATTATATCAGGAAGGATTTATAGCATAGACCTGGTCTTTTAAATCAAGTGTTTAGCTTGAATATGTAAGATAGGCGCTGCTGAAAAACAGAGTAGATTGAAGGGAACAGTTGCTTTCTGCTTTGAAGTTATAGTTAGGATGGAATTAACAACTGTATTTTCAGGAAAGGAGTCTGTTCTACAGGATTTTTTGACTGAATTTGCACGTCAGGTTGAGGAATCTAGTGTAGGGCAGAAATAAGGAAGGCCTCTCTGAATTTGAGAAGCATACCTCATATTTAGAAAAAATAACTGGAAAATAGTCCTGTGATTTTTCTCTCCCCAAAGCAAATTGCTCTGTGATTTACTGTAAAAATAGCTACTTGACTTTCCTTATCCATTTTATAAATTTGTATGTTAATAGTTTACTTCCACTTTAATATGATGTTTGTTCATAGATGGCCAAATTCTGATAGCCTCAGTAATGTGAAACAATAGATTACTCTGGTTCCATGAGTGCTCCTTCTGGCCGGGCTAGGGCATGCTGTGGTGATACCTGGTCTAAGAGGAAAGATCTAAGACAAAGTTCTGTAACTTATTTTAGTAACACAAGTTTTTACTTATTACAACCCATGACAGACCTCTGGCTGGACACAGCAGTAAATAAAGGTCACGACCTCGGGAGCAGCTAGAAGAGAACAGAACTAAGCTGACATTTGGAAACTTGAAGTGTATTTTGAAGCTTGCTCAGTATTTTGATAGTGTTTGATGAGTTCTAGTATACTGATAGGTAAGCTAGGATGCGTACTAGAAATGCAGCATTTTATCTGAGGCAACTATTTGCTCTGCTAATTTTGCAGTGATGCTTTTTATAGTTCACAACAGAAGGCAGATCTTGGATAGCATAAAAAGCTCTTTGCTTCTGGAAAAAGTCTTGTTTAAAAAAAAGAAGAAACATATCTTTACAAAAATAGTTTTTTATTATTACAATAATTTAAAAGAAGATTGTTTTCACCATTTCTGAACAAACAATATTGTAAGAGGAATTGTCAGTAATAGATCCACAGGCACAAGGATTGTCATGGCTGTGTTTCCTGTTGCAGGTGTTAGGTCCACTTCACATATCTGCATTTTTACAAGCTATCTTTAAATGACAGCAAAAGTATACTTTAGCATTTGAAGCAGGTAATTACTCAGTGAAGCTTCCTAAGATGAAAAGTCAGAAGGAATAATTCTTCAATCTGTGTTTGCATTGAAAAGATGAATCCTTAATGTTCACGAGCAACGTCCAAGCAGAGGGAAGATGGTGAAGCACACAGGTGCCAGAGCTCAGAGCCAGAGACTCTGTGCTGTTCATTGGCTTGGACATTTTCCGGCTTCCAGGTTATCAATGGCAACACTTAAAAATATTCCCTGAATGGAGAAACACTTCAGTTTGAGTGGACCCAATCTTGGAAGTACTTGTACATGCTTATTGTCACAACGGTTCAAGTAAGTAAAACATCTGAATAAATGCAAGATCAGTCCATTAAACTGCAGCCTGTCCCTGCTTCAATCAAAATAAATCAGAATAAGTGTCGTCGTTAGTAAGTGTCTTAGAATACTGTAACCTTCTCTACATTAAGGAAACAGCTGCAAAAACATTGCATATTCTTAGGGATTTCTGGAGCCCTAACATAGCTCAGTTTCTAGTATTTAAAGCACTATCTTAACAAAAATGTGTCTGAGCAAGTCTAATATGAATTGCTGTAAATCTCCTTAATGTAGGAAGGCTTTAGATTCAAAGAGCGTCTCTTTAATTTTTTGCAATTTTAGTTTTTCATTCATCTGTTTTAAACAAAAATAAAACTTTGCAATATATCTGTAATATCAAATGATAACAGCTAAAACTTTGAATTTCTGAAATGAAGTAAACTAATCCACCTGGGTACCTATAACATACTTTTTCTGGATCCCAAGTTACGAGGCCATAATGAAGCCATATAAATTATCCCACAATATAAAAACTATTCTGGGTCCTAACCCTACACTGGGATTTCATATGGCCTACTAGGAGTTCCCAAGTCCCACAGAAGTTCAGTGAAATTTAGGTGGCCAGCTCCAGTATATTTCATCCTTCATTCCTTGTTACTTCAGGATACCTAGTGAATATTTTGGAGAGCAGCATTTGAGTACGCTTTGAGACACCTTCACAGAGCCTGATTTTTCATGGGGAATGTACCTAACACTCAAAATCAGAGCTCTCCCTATGACTCAAGCTGAGTTCTCAGAGCTAAGACTTCAGAAATCTTTTTTTCCTGACTCTTGCCCTTAAGTAATTTCACTGTCTGAAATACAAAACTTCATCACTGTACTTACATGACTGTATTAAACCTATTAATACATACGACTCAGTCATTTCTAAAACTGTTTCAACTATTTCAAAGTATAGATCATCTCCAAATAAAATACTCCCAATTGTAAGACATACCAAAAAGCTTCTTGTGTGCATCTTCCCCATAATCTTAAAATACAAAAGCCAAAGCAGTGCAAGCTTAGTAGGGGAGAGTCTTTCAGTCCATTCTTCCAAGCTGATGCTCCTTCTCCAAAGCTTTATTTTCTTCATTTAACTAAAGGCAAAGTTTTCTGTAAAAACAGCTACATCCATTAATAAAATGAATGAGAACCTTTTTTGTTTGCTATGGAAACAGCAAGATTTAAGTGCATGAGGTGATGTACAGTTAGGCAAAACAATGCATTATCTATTATTACTGCTCATTGGATTGCAGTAGAATACAGAGTTTCACATACCAGTTTCTGGATGTCCATCTCAGAGAACTCAAAAAGTTTCTCTGTCATATGATTTAATCCATCACAAACTTCAGGTTCTCAACTCTGTGATCCACTGCATTCATCTTCTGAGCAAGACTGAGAACTTTCTTTACCTTTTTAGGAAAATAATAGGAAAATTTGGGACACTAAAGAAAATGAAACTAGGTTCATTAGTGTAGCAGAAACTATTGTTTGCATCGCCTGCCCTAATTTTTCTCATCCTTTCTTTGCTGACAGGTTATTTCCTATTACATCTCGGTAAGGGTTTTGAATCATTTCACCTTCACACTTCATACCCCACACTGCAACTATAAGAAGTAGAAACTTACAGAAAAGCTTTAGAACAATTTCTGTATATCCTTGATCAGCAACACCCCCATCTTAATTTTAATAGTGTTGTCATTTTAATGGTCAGTCAGTAATAAGCAATTCTACAGTAATACAGAAAACATGTGACAGGAGTTTACCTTCGATTACACTACGTGCTGCAGGCATAGTCCCTTTTTTGTATCCTTTTCTCAATGCTTACCACAAGAAGGTCCTCACTTCTCACTAGAGGACCTAGGCATTGCTGTATTGAAATAACTTGCAATGAACACTCAGTTATCAATGGTAATAGCAACGAGATGTTGTTATATCACTATCCAGTCTAGCTCAAGTGTAGGGCACCAGCCTGACCTAAGGATTGCTGTAGTTAGTGAACCTAAAGAAGCACTACTTGACATTCAGATCCTTCCTTGGGATTTTTTGTTTTCTATGCTCATCGAGGATACTATGTGAACTATCTTAACTTGTTAAAATAGCCTCGACCATTGTGAAGATACTTTAGCAAAATACAGGGCTTTTGACTCTGAATTCTGCAAACAGTGAATCAGCTCATCGATACATTCTTCACTGGTCCATCTAAAATCAGACGCTTTGAGAATTATGATTTTTTTTTTTTTTCTGGAAGAGAAGTTTTGATGCATCTTGAGTCCTAGCTTATTCAGTAGACATTATGATCCCTGTATTTGACCTAAGGAATCAGATAGGCAGTAAATATTCATTGAAAGGCACTGCTTGACCTTTTTTTTTTTTTAAAAATCTTATTATATTTCCCAAGTCTAATAACACAGGTTTCTTTTCACGACACAGATCTTGCACTTTAAAGCAGTTAGTGTGGAGACATATATGGAATTTCAAACCTGGGGCGCTTTCATATTGCTATAAATGGTTTCTTACCATATGAAGTAGTTGTGTAATTCCTCTGAAAATTATAACTTCTTTATTTCACAGTACCTGTTTCTTGTGCCCCCTCTTTCCCTCCCCCCATTTCCATATTTAACTAAATATACCTTCTTCCCTGGGACCAGCCACTGGTACCACCACACTTGGTATGTTTGAACTTGAAATATTTCCTACAAAAACAACCCCCTTTTTCTTTTCCCATTCCAATAATCTCCACTGAGAAAAAAGGTTCATTACAAAAGTGGCTGAGGATAAAAACAGACAACCAAAAAGCTCAAGTTTTAAGATGTGTCTATGTTCATTGAGATAGCAGTTCAGGAACAATTCAGCCTGAACTACAGCATCCCTGAAGATTGAACTTGTCCTTTTTCAAGGCTAATTCTCTTCATCTTGAACATTATTTGCTAAATACCATGGAAGAAAAACATAATTTTAGCTGTGATTTGTACTTGTAGGTTGACTTTTGACGTAGGACGCTTTGACAAAAGAGAAAATTATGGGGTAATAGAAAAGCAAGCTCTTCAGGATGTTAATCAGAATCAGTCTTCCTGTTAAATGTTTCCTCCCTCAGGTCTTGACAAGGTGATGGCTTTTGGAGGATTGAGGTTCTCAATATCATCTGTGTGCTGTGCCAGATACCATGGCTTCTGTCAATCACTTGTGAGTTTGCCTTGCTTGCTGCAAGCCGTAATAGATGATTATTCTGTCTACTTCAGAGAAACTGGCTCAATGGGCCTTTCTGTTCCTAAGCGTATGTCATCTTCCCGAGATAATTAGATGGTACATATCCTTTCTGACCTTTTGCTTCTGCTAGCCACCATTCTTTATTGCCACTCAGGTCAGAAAACCGAAGTATCCTAACCTTCTGGTACTCCTGAAGACTGAGTTCCTGATCATTTCTTGCTTGAAATGCGTAAACAGCATAAAAGGTCTAAAAAAGGAAAGCCACAAAAACCAAAATCTGAATTCAGAAATGTAGCCACATCTTACCCTGTCACTGTGCATTAGTACAAATTCTGTATACAGAACATGTATGATAATATATACGAACCAGTATGCAACTACATGGTCTGCAATTGTTAGACAGACTACAATGAAGATGGCCAAAATAAAAAGTAGAATTGAAGGATCTGGGGAATTCTGCATGGGGAAGAACAAACCAAGCTCCAAGACCTCATCATGCTACTACACTAGTAAGGTTTTCAGCTCACACCAAGTGCTTGTTTCTGTCGCACCAAGCGGCCTTGGACTGGACGGAAAATTTTCCAGCAAGGTTTCCTCACGGAGGATCACCTTTCCTAAAGCTCCTGTACTCAAATGTGGCACGTGGGTTAATTCTGTGCCTTGCTGATCAGTGTTGCCACAGCCTTCTTGTCAACGGTAAATTGAAAAATCCCCCAAACTGAGCTATTTTGCAGGTTTCTGCTCCATAGGAGAACCTTGAGGCATTGTACATGGAGTGGGGTAATGCAATGGTGTGTTTTCTGCGAGACAGGACTGCGATTCACAATTTAACTGATTATCTTTTCCTACCTTGTAGCTATTTAAGAATGGCAAAGAACAGAAGATAACAAATTCCCATGTCATACTGACAGATTAGTGCCAGTCTTTTCTGGTGTAAAAGGAAACTATTTAAATTATAAGCAGTATAATTCTAGATTTGTAATAGGAACAACAAGAAGACAAGCACAGCACGTATCACACTTACATGCTGATCATCCATATCCTGAAAAGCATCAGTCACTGTGCCATTAACTGTGGGATTTTCACAGAAGTGAAGAGATGAGCTGCTGTCACTCTTCTTGTGCCCCAGACTTCTTGTGCTGCTGTCAGTAGAGGGCCGTGAAGAGACAAAGAGGCTGATATTATCAAAATCATCATCACCAAAGCCGTTTTCTGCTACGTCCTTCTGTGCTTTGGCTGGATTGTAAGGCCTCAGGAAGGAGGAATACACATACCCTTTAAGGACTAGACACCAGAATAAAAAGAGGGAACATAAACAGCGAAATACTGCTAAAACCATTTCAAACCCAACCATTTTATGCAGCTGTCAGTACGACAGAGGCAAACAGATGGGGCCAGAATGAAAAGAAATCAATATCCCAAAGGGAAGCTGTTATTGGGATGTTTGTGCAGAGAACTTACTTCCTGCATCAACAAGCCATCTGCTCGTACTTCCGAAGGGGTCCTTTTGCTCCACAACAGCCACCAGTTCTCCTTCATGTAAATCAATATCAAATTCCTGTGTGGCATTGCACTTGCGCTTAGCTTGGTATAGCAATTCTATGCTGTACGTAGACAACAGCTTGGACCTGTGGCCTTCTGTTTGACGTGGGGATTCGAGCTGAAAAGCAAAAAAAATTATTCACTGGGAATAATGCTGAGGCCATTTCTAGAGCAACATGGACACGTAAAACCCAGTGTATGCTGCATGGCCCTACATTTTTACACACAGATCAAGGAGTTACTTACACAGCTGTAGGTAACCAAATCTCCTTTGCATATGCAGCAAGGACCTGTCCAACTGGTATATTAATAGATGAGCAATAAAGGTCAGATTTTAAAGAAATGTAGGAATTTCACTAATTAAAGATCTCTTAGTCCATCCTCTGCTCTCAAAGAGACAGCATTTTATACATGAACTGTCACTTGTTTAATTGTTTTTCCGTAGCAATGATCTTTGAATTCCTATGTAATATCACAAAAAAGGCATAATCCAAAAATTGGCTGAGGTGTGCTTGCATAACAACTTGCATGACAAGGCATTAGGCAAAAAAATCAGTGGTACCCAAATGGCCTGCTTTTTGTGTGAAATTACCTCGCTAAATAAGGGCAAGGTGTTATTAACTGCTGGAAGCATATTCACTCAGAGTTTGGTTAGAGGGCAGGCAGGGAGATGCTGTACCTTAGTGTGATCTTAACATACCACAGAAGCAAGAGCATGTATGCCTTACTGATATTAAAAGGAATCCTACAGCTTCCTCAGCTTCTCCTGTACATCTGTGCTCAAGTTTTTATTTTACTGTAAACTAGACTCCTTAAAGCTCTAGAAATGTCTGATAAGATTGGGAACCAGGTGGACACAGATTTCCTGGTAGATTTTCTGAAACTGCTGTGGGGTTGTATGTGTGTGTGTATGTGTGTAAATGCCAGTACGCATAACCACAGTTGAAGATGAGGAAAAAAAAAAGTTCTGAATTAGAAGACTAAGATGCACTGGAAGAGTATTTAACAAAAGAAGTAATCAAAATTTACATATACAACCTTAGACTTAACACGTGCTTAAGGACCTAAGGGTAATCAGAGATAATTTCAAGCAGATTTTCAAGATAATAACATGAAAACAGAGTGAAAAATCTTCAGAAGTTACTGGTCAATGGAACAGCTTCATTCCAACAATCTTATTCAGAGTCCCAGTGAAGAGACCAAGCCCAAAGCTCTAGGAGGCATAAAAATGGATTTGTTTCAAAAGCTATCAAAAGAGGATGCTTCATACGCAGTTTGGGTGTATGGTACTCACCGGAGAAGGGACAGGTTTCTTTTTTTCTAAGCTCAATTTTCTCTCAATAAAGGTTGCACTGCTGTTTTCTTTTACAAAATTCAGCTTGTGAACCTCCTCCATCAACTGATTCTGCACTTCACAGATGCTTGAGGAAGACAGCTGCAAACACAAAGGTGGGTTAGTTCTCATGAACAAAATGGTAAGGAGATTTGAGAGTGCAGATTTAGTTTAATGGGCTGAATGCTAGGAGTCAGGAAATCTGACAAGTTACTGCTGTTTTCTGCAGAGCCCATAGTGTGCTAAATACGAGCTGGAGAGAAAACAAAGGTCATTGCTTAATGAAAGTTTCTAATAATTGCTATTAGATTTAAGAGACATACTAATCTAAGTTAAATCATTAAAAATATTCTAAACAATGATGAAAATGAACAGCCTTGTACTTAAGCTACTGAGCCCCCTGCTTTCCGATGCAAACGTGCATCTCAGCAGCTATCAGAGTGGCCAATGTGCTGTAAGGCTTGGAGTAGTTTACCCTACAGCTGTGTGTTTGTGCAACTGGGTGCTGCCACCAGATTAAAAATTGTTGGGCAAGCTGAAGTCTGTCTGTGGCACTGGATAAGTGCTTTTGGTCTGTGCCTGACCCCAAATGTGTTTGCTGATGTAAACAGAAAAAAGAAAAAGGCGGCAATTTTGTAGGCAGAGCCTCACAGGAAAAACGCTCGATGCAACAGCTTTCAAAACATGAAATGGTCAAATTACAGGGATGCAGTTTCTTCATGCAGGAAAAGCCTTCATTTTCCCATTAAACAGCGCAGCTCTATGTTTTGATCCTGACCTTGCTTTCTTAATTTTTCAGCTTCCCCTGACTATGAAGTGCTGTGTTCAAGCCTTGATGGAAAGGTATACTCCAGAATTGCCTCACTACAATGTTTTTCCTATCTTAAGTCTTGCTCGGGTTCAGAAGAGGGGATTTGGATGTGTGGAGGGCATTGTTGCAGCTGTGTTTCTCGGGGGATTCAAGTCCTCTAGGCAAAAGTACAGCAAAACTAAAACAAAAATGTAGGATTTTCACACAAACTGAGAATAATTTCTCAATTTTGATCTTCAGGTAATAATCACAGTGCCCAAAAAGAGTAGATTGGGATGGAGGAACTGATGCCCTTCTGTGTAGGTCAGACAGGTGTCTTTGGTACTTTTGGCTACGTAAGTGAAATGATTTGAACTTTCTAAAAATGCCAACATAGACAAAGCTATTCCTTACTGCATAGACATGCCTGCAGGAGCTTCTGCAGCATATTTGGCTTTAAAAGCAACTTGCTTTTCACAGAAATTATTTCATCAAATCTCCTAACCTGCTTCTCTCCTGCAGTCATCTGTGACTCTGCAGGTCTAGCAGCAATGGGAGTCTTCATGCACTTTCTTGCAATTTCTCTTGCTGTGTTTTCTGGGCTAGTCGGGGCAGACACTAAGAAACAAAGACTAAAACGCTACCAGCTGCCTCCTTTTTGCCTGAGCGTAATGTTCTTGCCATTACTATCACTGTAGCAGCTGGAACACCTGCATTAGGATCATTCTCGATTGAAAAGTCCAGGCCTGACAAAACTTAAGCTCAGAACTTAAGCTTTGCTGAGGTTGCAAGGAAAAAACCAACCCTAAACCTGACTGTGCTTAGCAGAGCAAACAAAATCAGTGTACCTTGTAGGTATGTGTCCTGCATAACTCTAGCCAAATCATACAGAAAGAAAAAAGACAAATAAAGGCAGAGCTACACCTGTTTCTAATGTACTTACCGGAACAGGCACCACCACAGCAGAATTTGATTGAAGTGCTGCAGACATAATATTCCTGAGGAGGGTGATGAAGCAATGCAGGCAGTTCAACACAATCTTTTTGGCTGCTCTGTTGAATACCTGAAGTTCTTCCACTAACTGTGCGTTTAAAGCCTCATAGTCTTTCTTTGCTAGGTCCAGCTCTTCTCCCGTTGACTTCTGAAGGTAGCTGTTGTAGTCCAACAACTTGTCATAGCGCTTCTGGATGAGCTTCTGTGGGCCCGAAAACAAGGCTTGTAGTGCTGAGAGAGGAGCCAGAACAAGCTTGTCCAGCTGAGCCATCTGGAAAGGTATAAAACAGACCTGCTTACTACTTTATTCATACAGTTCTTCAGACCCAGTAACAGGTTAAGCCTGATGGCAGCCTATCAAGCAATCTGTTAATTACTCTTCACAAAGCATTGCCTTCAGAGGCAGCTTCAAGCGGGGTCTAGCATGAGTTAGAATCTCCTTCATAACATTGCAAAGGAGAAGTAACAGTTTTGCAGTTTCAAGTGTCTGGCAAAGGCAAGGGTCCCTTGGAGCCCGCGGTACTGCCCTTAGTGTGTTACCACTGAGGAAAAACTGAGCAAGGATGGGTCAAGTGGTCCAACAAAACTGGGATTTCCGTAATCGGAAGGCCTGTGCTAATATACAGTCTAGAGGCAATGAGGTCTTGTTAAATGGCAATCTTGCAGTCTTGAATGCTATCAAAGCTTGCTTGCTTGCTTTTTTTTTTTTTTTTTCCCCCTGGAAACAGCTGTAACTCAATTCCTGTTTAAGCAAACACAAACAATCACTTGATTTGATTAAATTATGTTATGCTTGTTGGTTTTATCTCTAGTAATCAACAAAATTAGACACCTGGTAAAAAACCAAAGTCTTTCTCAGACTTTTCCATTAGTCTCTAATTGTCTCAAGGGATTAATATTGCATGAAATAAAATTTATTTTTGTAAGTCACTCGTTCAAATACAGCACAGGCTTGTAGTGAGTGAAACTCATCATCATATTAAAGCTCTTGGACGTTCTATGTGAATTAAGTTGTTGGGTTGAGTGTGAGAATAAAAGAGCAGCTGTCCCTCTACCCTCCATAACACACCATAGTTGAGGACAGATCCTTTTTAGCACCAGAATTGCTCTCTCAAGGCCAAGATGATGTACACAGGGTAGATAGTTTCTACTTTATTTCCACGTGAAAAACTGGGCTGTGTTTAGTGAACTAATTTTTGACGCATTAAGAAAACAATTTTTCCAAACTGCTGGACCTTATTTCTGGAAGAGAAAAGGCTGTTGTGGACTTCTGCCCTAAAATTTTCCATAAAAAATAATGAGAGAGGAAGGTATTCGTTACTGACAAATGCACAAAGGAAAAAAAAAATTAATCTGAGCCTATTGCTGAGATCTCCATTGATAATACCCTTTCAGGAAAACATGTGACAAAACTATGGGTTGTTCAGTGAGAACATCTACTCATTGTGCAATGTCAGGAAAAAAGATTTTAAAAAAAAAATTATACATACAATAGAGAATCCTTGCAATCTTGTAAATCCAAGACATAGAAATAAATAGATAATAAGCAGAAATTTACATGGTTAATAACAATGTCCACAGTTAAAACAAACATGATTTTTTTTTTTTTTTAATTACATAGACCTTCAGAACAGCTCGGTCAGAAGCCAATAGGAGTTACAAATTTTTTTCTGAAAAAAATTTTCCTGTTTCATCTATTGTGGAATTGTTTCTGCTTTTCTTTGATGTTTCTGAATATGGGGCCATCTTCCATGCTGGACACACTCACCACTGCAATGATAGAGGGGTACTCTTCTGTACTTTATGCACTCATTCATTGTAAAGACATTGAAAATATCTTTCTGATTACGGAGATTAATTTTTGAGATTTTTTTTTCAAATGCAGGAACTTCAAAGGAAAGGAAATACAACATCTTACTTCCCTGTCATTATCTGGGAGGATGTGGTCTGTCAAAGATCCTTCTGTTTCTTGGCAAACTCTGTTTTCAGTGTTTTGGAAAGGATTGAATGGCTATATTTTAGTCAGCACAGACCTAGGAAAGTATAAGAAAACCTCCATCTCTGAATTTTTCCAGCTTGAGCAGCCATTTGAAGAAGCAGTCTGTCCCATTTTGAAGAGACATTTTAAGTCTATCTTAGTAGAGCCAGGCATTAGAGTTCATTTGGACCCTGAAAGCAAGAGACTAGTTGAAAAACTATTATCTTTTTTTTTTTTAATTGTTTTTTAATTCCTATGGGCTATATTCAGATTTTTCTTGGTTTCCCTATATGAAGGACAGTAACTTACTTGAAAAGGTAATAAAGCTGAGATTTTCACAGATCTATGATTCCAGGAGCTAATAGTTGACGATCACAACAAAGATCACAAAAGTCACTCTAAAACTGCAAGTGTTGGTAACAAAAGTAGTAGAGCAAAGATCTGCTGCTCTTGTCTGAAGCTCAGGTGAAACATGCAAATTTAGCACAAAGATTCTGGTTTAAACCCAGGAATTAAGCTTGATAAGTTTTCTTTAGCTCTTCTAGGGAAAACATAGTGCACTTACACTGAATTTTATCCTATTGCCTGCAGAAACTCAACCAAAAAACCCTCTCATCTTTCCCAACAGATTCTTAAGTTTTTTTGCTCTTTTCTGTCCTAGTCTTCCTCACATACGCCTGTTTTCTCACACATACAGATAGCTGTGTAACACTGAACATTGCATAAACTTACAAGGTCTTCACAGAGATTTGCAGTGTTGTTCTGTTTCTTCAAACAGTTGTTGACTCCATCATCTTTGTCTTGCAAGATTTCCTGAAGCCCGATTATATTCTGTGTAGCCAGATGTATAGAATCCTAAATGAGAAGATGGTGGGAAGATGAAACTGTATTACAATCTGTTTTAATATACTGCATTCACTCATGCAGATGCTGCAATAATACTGATGAAATCAGAAATATTTTCCATCTCTGACACCTGTGCAGTTTCCAGCCATTGTGGGATTGTTTACTGTGATAATATTTTCCTGTGTTTTGTCTATTTTCAGTGTAAACTATTTAAGAATCAAGTTGTTAATGTTCAGCCAAAAAAACCTAATGAATGTCTCACTGGAAGTTAGCTACTCCTCAGCAAGAAGCCACCTCAAGACCCACGCAGCCTCGAAGGCCTCTTTTGGAGGACTAAGTAGGACTACAGTGGTGTATTTCACTTACTCTGAATTTTAATCCTAACGAAGTGTGCATCTGTTTGGATAAGGAACTGTCAACACCATTCCAGGCAACAACCCTTGTCGGCTGAGCTCACTGGCCTTCCCGTTTGCTGAACCAAACCAGGTGCGTTTGCGATAAGCTCTGGCCAGCTGGCTATTGATCTTACCTACCTCTCAGACAACCTTCATGTCCAGGTTGGGCACACTTACACTTTGAAGGGCCTCATGCCATCTACAAAGTTGGCAAGCTTTCCATGAGAGGGAAAAGTTGACAATTTACAAGCCAACCCACGTCTTGGGAGAGGAGAATTAAAGCAAAGACGCTCACAGCACTTGAGCACTCCGTACATCTAATGCTAGCCCTCAACACAACCTAGCAACAGGATAAAGGAAGGAGTCCTCACATCCAAAATATGTATTTTAGGACATCTTAATTCATGTGGCTGCAACTCAGTTCTTCCATTTTTCATGAGAAGCAGTCGGTGCTCCACTGCAGCAGATGTGCATGACCCATATGACGGCTTCACACAGTGATTGCAAGTCATACTGTGCCATCAGACAGCACCTTCTTTTCTGCACTGCACCCATGGGTCTCCATAGAGCCTGCTTGTGTAAGGGGAAAAATGCTTAAGTGTGGGCTTCAAAATTTCTTTGCCGTGGGATCAGTAATGCAGCAGCAGCACAGCTCATTTATTTAATACTGTCATGTAGGCAGGCCTGCTTATAAATAATTTGGTGTTGCCTAACCAGTGGCAGAAATGTGTGTTAAACTGGCTATGAACATGGTTTGTGGACACAGATTTCAAAAAGGCCTGTACCCACCTGTAGATGTTGTGAGGAGAGTGAAATGTTCTTCACACACAATTTCACAGTCTTCTCTAAACTTCGAAACAACTTTTCTTCCTTATTAAAAGTTTGATCTTTCACCTATAATAGATGTTTGCACTGTTATTTTGGCAGCCCAAAAGAGCCTGGCTAATGAAAGAAACATCCAGAGAGCTGCTGGAAAAATCCCAAACCTTCCCTGAACTCCTCCCTTTGAAAGCAGAACAGATCGGCCCCTAATTCTCCCAAGCTCCCGTTTCAATCCAAGAAAAATCAAAGGCATGGGGCAACATGACAGAGAATTTAATTTTTAATCCTTGTGGAAGCAGGGAGTTGCTTTATTAGAAGCACACCTACGTGTGCCAACAAAACTCTTCATTTTTCTGTATATTTTTGCTCCATTTGAGGAAACAGTGGTGAAAACTGTAAGATATTTTTATGTCACGGCATTACTTCCCTGGGTGCTTATTTGTGGGTGATGGGGAGGTTTCCCCCAGGCAGGCTGTAGGTGGAGCTGTTACCTCTAGAGCAATGCCAGCTCTTCAGCTAGGAAACCTCAGCAGCTGGAAACAGGCTTGTACTAATTTTTTATGCTAGCTGAAAAAAACCCGAAAATAGGTTTATTTCTGCCTACTTTTTATTTGAGGAATTTGAGAAATCTCAAGTCTCGTTTTCAGTGGTCTTGCTGTAAGGGTCACAGAGTGTTTTAGAGATGTGAATTGGGAACTTTCTTAGTCTAATTAAGCAGGAGAGAGGGACGAATCTTTAACAGATGTATCCTGATTGTAAAATGATTCTCAAATGTTTTAAGCTTAATTAAAAAATAAACAAAAAAACCTATAAACCAGAAGCTTCTAAAGAAAAAAACCCAACAAACTCCACATCTCCTCTTAATCAAATTTAATTCCCTGGTTTTCTCTGATTTTATAGCCTTGCTGGTATCCCATTCTGAATACAAAAATTTCCACTGTACAAATAAATGAACAGAAAAAAATAAATGTGGGTATTTAGTTTGCATCAGAGAAAGAGGGAAACCACTGATAAAAAAAAAAACAGGAAAAAACGGCACGTACCTTGTAAAGTCACATCTAGAAATGCAAGTGACCTTATATAATCAGCCATCTCATGCAGTGAAGTGCACTGGATATCATTTTCAAGGTCAGCTGTAATTGATTTGCTTTGAGATTTAGATTTAAGCTTTCCTGAAAATGTTTATCCTGATAGGTTTTGAATTACAACCTCGAAATTATCAAGGAGTGTTTGATTTTTGGCCACCCAACACCCATCTGACTTATCACGGGGTTCTTTGCTTCTAGTAGTTTTGACAGTGCCAGGGCCTTACACATGTAGAGGCAAACCCCGTGGCCTTTCCTAATCAGAAGTATTGCTCATCTTCCTTGGTGGGTTCTGAACCTGAACATTATGATGCGGAGCAAGATGGCCTGAACACGTTCTCAGCACCGACAATAACTATTGCCAGTCTATCCACAAAACGCTGATCTCAGGCTGAGTTTCACAAAACTACCAGTCGCTTCCGCTCTGCTGAAGATTAGAAGTTCGAGAAACTCTTAGATAAAAAAGGAAAAGGTGGAGAACACATTACGTTATTTTCTATTTCAATCACAAATATCTTTCCTGTCTTCTGTGACAGTCAGAAAATGACTTTATAAATGACGCAGAAAAAAAGCAACAACACAAACTCCATCTCCAACATGTTCTAAAAAATGTCCAGTGCAAAAGCAGAACTGAAGCTGTCAATGCAAATCTGCAGTTGGATCAGTAAGTACCTGTGGTTCTCCCCCCGTCAGTATTTTCAGGTGGCTGGTGACCCTCTTGGATTTCTTGCTAATGGAGTGGATATTCAGTCGGGAAAACTTTTCTTTAAGGGTTTCGTCATCGTCATTCCTCTTATACTTCAGCACTGCAGACAGAGAATTTCATAACACAAATAATCTGTATTCGCAGGGCTTTTCACAGGGGTGGGCACACAAATATGAAACCATTTGAGAGCAGACATTTTGATGTCACTTGTTGTAATCTTGTGTGAAAATGCTTGAGATGATGAAAAACCTGTTATCAATGCAAGCCTTGGGAATAGTGAAGTTAGGGCTTCAACATGGCAAGTCTATAAGAAATACTCCTATTATGGCATCTTAATTATTATCTGTGTTTGCAACTGCATTATGGACAATGAACACAGATATAACATGAATTCTTTCATCGTTTTCATATTTCTGGCGTTACCAGTCAGATAACAGAGCTGGCTGAGGACAAGTGACATTAAGGCATCTGTTACCTTCTTGAAACCCAGCATATTACACAACTTGGGTAGCACCAGTCAAAACTGTTGTAGTGATATGACTGGAGTTGAAACCTCTCTTGTAATTGCCAGCCCAAACCTATGAAGGCAGAAGAACATACTGCGCCTTTTTCTTACCTAAATCTTTCCTCCTTTTAAGTTCATTGATGTTCACATTAATGTTTTTCATAGCAAAAAGGGCGTCTTGTAGCGCCTTGTGGTCAGGGTGAGAAGCAGGAGTTGAATTCAAGAGTTCACAGAGTAACAAGGGATATTTCATCACCCGTTGCACTGGTTTGATCATCAGGGATCCCATATCCATTAGATTCGGCTTTCCTCTATAATTTACACAAAAAAATTTGTCACATAAGGAGAAACTCCTTGAAGACAAAAACTTTGTATTATTTCTGTCTAGTCATTGAAGCTGCTGCCTTTTATATCCTTTAGTTGAGCTTTCAACTACAGAAAGTATCAAAACCAGAGCAGTGCTTTGCACTGAGTCATAGAAGTGCAATTACCACTTAAGTCAAAAAATAAGATACATCTGTCAGGGAACGGGGGCCGTTGTAAACGAAACCCTCCTCTCGCCCCCTCAGTGAGAAACACACCCCAGGTCTGAGTTTTCTGTATTTTCAGTGCCCTTCCAGGCTATTGCTTAGATATTACCTCTGAAACCGTCCCACTCAGTCTGAGGGTGCGTGTGGTACAACTTACACACCACGACACCCAGGAAGGGAGATGTAGGTGGAAGAACAAATAACAGGAAGTTTGAGAAGCGCCTGTGAGCGGGGCTACTACATCCTGCTCCAGCCCCTCAGGCTTCAAATGGCAACATCTCCCTTCTGCACAGAACTGGGATGCCCGTTCACCGCTGCATCCCTTCTCACAACATCTCTCAACTCGCCACACTGACTCTCAAGCTTTACTGTCTTCTGCCTGCGTTTTTCCTTTGCTGGCGGCCAGGAGGTTATTTCTAATGATGCCTGAGCTTCCGAAGGGTACCAGATCTGGCCCCTGGAAACGTTGAACATACAGGATCTTCACCCAGGCTTGATCCAAGCTGCTGGAAGTCACTTTACACAAAGGCAAAGCAGGCAGCTGCCTAGGGTGTCAGAAGGACAAGGGTAGGAAAGTCACAGCTTCCAGCACCGGCACAGGGATGTCCTGCAGCTCCAGGCTCAATCCCTGCCGGCTCGGCAGGGGCAGAGAGCAGCTTCCCCCGGCACGTGAGCGGCTCAGGCCATCGAGGCCACCCAACCGAGCTCTCTGGCCCCCACGCAAGGGAGTTAGCAGCCAGCTGAATTCATGCTCCAGCCCCACTCCGGAGAAATGCCTTTGCTCAGGCTCTCTGGGCTCGAAGGGGAGAGGCTGTGCCATTTGCAGGTCATCACGACAGCCTGGAAGAAAACAGGGAAGGGCAGGACGGAGCCACACGTGCCTTCATTACCTTCCATGTGGCTGGTAGAAACGTGGGGTCTCCCCGGAGTAGGTGACACCAGGTGGCCAAGCTCTAGGGCCAGGTCCAGCCACTGCTGAGGCTCCAGCAGCAGCAGGACAGACGTGTCCATTGTGTCTCCTCGTTACCGCATGCTCCTGAGCAAACCAGGCAACCCTCTAGCACCAGCGCCGGCACCAACTCCCTGTGACTCACAGACCTCCCCTTTGAAAGTGAGCGTGAGCTGTTGGCAGCAGTGTGAAGGGCAGTAAAGCAGAGCAAGCTTTCCATTTGCATGCCCCCAAAAGGCTGCTTTGGAGGGGAAAAGGTTGTTTGACATTAACTGTGCAAGAGTTAATGCCAGGCAAAGAAGGATCTCTGCATATGGAAAGATGGAATAACACAACGTAGAAGGAAAGTACAAAAAACAGGGAACAGCCACTTGGTTTTGCAGGCTGACATCTATTGTTTTGTGCAGCAGAAAGAGTAAAAGAGAAAAAAAAAAAAAGCTTTCATTCCCACTTTTATATGTATAAAAAGTACAAGAGCCAATCCCTACTGCTGACTAATTAACTAACAATTTGAATGCCTTTGAGAAGAGACATCTGCATATTTAAACCATCTCTCTCGCACAGGCATTATCTGTAAAAAAGTTCTGCATGAAAAAAATTAACAGTAGATGTCTTTTAAGGCTTCTTGATGTCCCCAAACCTTCTCATCATTTCAATACCCCTCATTTCCCCTGTATCCTACATTAAATATAGAGAGCTATTTTCCCTTCTTTCAGCTTCTGGCAGCAATAATGAAAAAAAAACCCAACTTAAATTGTTATTGTTTTCTCTGAAAAGCCCCATGAATGCAAATCTATAAAAGCTGCCTCATGAATGAAAAAATCTTCAAGTGTCTTCTCTTTATATAGTTGCACTTTGGACAGCTGCCCAAGTGATAAACAGCCCTCTGTTCGCGTATCTGCATGACACAGTCTTGCAATATGGTTCGAGAGATAGTAGGTTTGTTATAAGATAATGACTCCCTGGGGCGCTAAATGCCACAAAGTTCAACTCATCTAATTCTCCGCAGCAAGATTGGCTGATGATAGCCACTCTCCCTGGACGAGGCCCGTTTGCAATGCGCCCCGTTAGGACGCACCCGGCCGCCGGGCAGGACACGGCCTTGCCACGCGACGGAAACAGGCAAGTAATGGCTTATGACATCTATTGTGCAGAAAATTAAGTTGATAATTCATTTGTGATGCTACTTCAGCCTTCCCTCCCATGTTATTGTGAATTTAGCAAGTATTCTAGGTCATATGTAGCTGTACTAATCTCATCACAAATTATTACTGTAGCTCTGCAGTAAATGCAGCTGGCTTAACTGCAGTGAGCTTCACAGCATACCCTTCCTCCCTCCTCCCAACAAAACAAAGTCACACATGCTGAAAGATTCCCGCCTGTTTAAAAACCACATGGTGGTGAGCTATGCAAAGACAGGTGATTCAGGATTTAGCTTCATTTGCTCTCATTACCCAGCAACTAGGTCCAGTGGCAAACACGATAGCCAGTAGGGTACAGCAGGGCTGAAGCTGGTGTCGTATTCAGCTTGGCAGTTTTGAAATGGTGTGCAGGCATCATAGGCTGCAGCGTGACTTAAAGTCACAGGCTTCAAGGTTTACTGTGCACGAGTTCATTTTGGTACAAGGCATGTAGGGCAAATAATTCACTGTGCCGTAAGACTCTCATGCAAACCCAGGGAATTCACTGAGGCTGCACAGTTGTTAAGCCAAGCAGAATTTAACCTATCGAGCTGCTAGCAAAGGGCAGCGCTGCCTGGTATTTATGTAATTGTTTTCTTGATCGTGCTTCAATGAAAAGCAATCTGGGAGCAGCAACATCACAGACCGTTCGGGGTGAGTTACGCTGTATTTTCCAGTTCAACATTAACCAGATTTTTGGGCACGGTCCTGCCCAAGGGCTGCTGAGACTCTGCAACCTCTAAGCTGAGTTGCAGGTGATGGCATTTCTGAGTGCCCTGCCAGTCAGTGGGGAAGGCAAACACCATGACACCGTGCAAGGTAGCCAAGCTCAGGGAGGGTCCTGCAGCTAAACCTGGCTCATTGCACTCTGCACAGCTTTGTAAGAGCCAGTTTAATCTCAGAAAGTAAGTCGTATCCTACACTCCACTGGAAACTGTTTGAAGGAGAAAACTAGGCATTCATTTCTGATAGGGTTACGCAAGGCAAAGCAGCCAGTGTTGCACTATTTCTATATGCGTTGCTGTCTCACATGATCTTGATATATCTCTCTGGATATTTTGTTCCTTTTGGACACCTGCTCCTTGGGGGGCAGGAATATACAAGAATGTCCCCTATCAAACCAAAATGCAGAAAAACTATTTCCTGTCATAGACTAAAGCTTGAAAACCTTCAAAGTGAATTTTACACTGATCTTACTTATGATGTGCAATTGACTGACTGATTAACAAATTCTCTGACTTTACAGGTGTTCCTCTCCTACCAACATAGAGCACACTTGCTCCTCTTTTCCCTCTTTACATTTCTGTCGGGGGTTGTAGTCATTTTCTTCAGTTCAGTTAACCCCTCCTCTGACCTCTCCCTGCAGGTAACTTCAGGAGATGCTGCATGTCAATGATCCCAGCCTGCTGGATGTCCAGAAACTACAGCTGTGATAAACCTTCCTTTATAGCTTTTCAAAGATGTCGCACTTGGCACAGAAGTCCCTTAACCACAAGTTATTGGTGGCTGGGTGAGTATTCTGGCAAACCGTTGCAAAGAGTTTGTTCTTTTCTGATGTTCTTCCAGCCTCCGTCAGAGGGAAGATCCTAAGGTGGACTTCTCATATAGGGCTATCGAAGGGGTTGTCACCTTAGAAGTAGCTTTACCTGTGAACCTAATGTGTATTGTAACAGGTCTACAGAGGCCTATGCAAAATGGTTTCCGAGTGTCTGGATTTCAAAGACTGACACTATGTTGTTGACCTCGCGGACCTCAGAGCTCTCAAAGCACATTTATAAGACAGTGAGGTGATAATAAAGGACTCCGAATGAGTTGGCAACCAAATTAAGTAGCTTCATAAAACACAAACTTTGAAAGATACTGCAAAGCTAGTGCAGTGGTAATTAGAAAACTAGACAGGCTTAGGGAAATTAAAACTGAGAGTCTTTATCACATATGTCCTGGAAAAATCTATGGGTTATACTGACACAAAAGGCTTGTGTTCTTAAAATTTCCACATGTACAGTTTTAAGCATACTGAAGATAAATAAAAGATACTTTAAAGATTATTTTACATTTAAGAAAGGCGTAATACTTACTCTTCCTCATATATCTTTCTGCAAAAGAGAAGAAAACAAAACACACATTAGATTCTTCCTAAAAGGATTTATACAGATCAGGAGCCAGATTCTCTGATACACTTCAGTGACACAGAGCAGCCGTAACTGGCCAGTTAACTTAGGTTTATGGCTGCTATGTGTCAACAGAACTGCACAAAACAGCCAGAGGGTACCGGTGAATCTGGCCCTACATCTTTTTGAAAGGACAGCCCCAAATGAGAAAGGATTGTCAGAAACCTGTCTTTGGCTGTAAGACCCAGCCTTGTCCTAACACTGTTAGAGAAGGAAGTTTGGGTCAGTGCACTAACAACAGTAAGTAACATCAAGTCCTTAATACAAAAAGTAAAATTCAACATCATTCTTACACTTTACATACATTCCCATCTACTCTCCTTAAATAGAAATGTATTTCTCAATGAGAAAGAATACATTTCAAGCTTTTAGGATATAGAATCAATGAAGCTGCTAAGTTTTTTGTAGGCTACACATCAACTGAAACCTCTTCAGAGTAGGATGGTGTCGATACATCTACTGAAAGCAGCAGGGACGTACAATTGTAGTTTGGAAACACGCAAACATGCACATAGAGTATTTTCCTTATGGTATGAATTCACTCAAATGCAAGGGAACCAAAATGTCGTTCCATCTGTGCGTTAAGCTTTCCTCACATCACATTGTCAGCCACTGCCTTTTGACTGCTTGCACTCTTATCCCCTTACCCACTGGTGCCTAACTGAGCATCTGGAAGCTGCTGCTTTCATTGCTTCTGCACTGTCAGCACTTTGCGTGCTTATAACGTCCCTCTGTCCCTGTATTAGTTGACCAAGCTACTTCAGGCTGAAAGCAGAGCAGGTAGTTGCCAGCATCCTTTCATTTTTACCAGCTGCATTTCTTTGGCTAAGCTAGCAAACAACATCCCCAGTTTGCATAATCGCTGCTGAAAAACGGGACTCTACAGAATTTGGATTTGCACATGTCTCCAAGGCAGACACCTACATATTGGGATGGAATTTCTCCTCTTCAGTCAACAGGAGGAATAGGAATCTCAGCATGCCTAATTAAATCTGATTTGTCTGTACAGATGTGCAGAGTGCCACTTTCAAATTGCTCCTGATACAGAAGTTGTTTTTCACATGGCAGATATTACTCAGCTGAGGAACAGAAGCCCCTAGTAAACGTTAGCCCATTTTAATTTTTTTAAAAAGGGAACAATATTCTTTCCAAGGAAAAAAAGAATTATTTAAGAGTAAACATTTTTCAAGAATAGTCGTCACCAGCCCCTGCATTTATGTCTCACAACGGAAAACAGCCTATAACTTATTTGGTAAAAATGCTGCATAATTTTCTTCCTCGTGCAAGTATTCTCCAATCAGTTCAATCACAGGTTTAGGTGACCACAGCTCTGCATTTCAGTGTGCACTTTCAGGTCTTAATATTTGAATTGGCTGCAATCTTTAGGCACCAGGAAAAACCACACTGTAGTATACATGCACCAGTGCTTTTTTCGTTGGTTCCTGTTTAAAGGCTAATCAGGAAAGAACAAGACAAAACAAGGCTTCATTGTGAGGAAGGCTTTGTCACTTCCTGCTAGCAAAGGCTACAATGGCTCAGCACAAAATATCCTTTCTCTTCACAAATCCCAGCTGTGATGTCGGAACAGGAGCTCCTCTTGCTGGCTCTGGAATTCAAGTGGCAGCATCCACCCTAGCATGTACGTGGATGCTATCTTTTATCTCTATTTCCTTCCATGTCCCTTTGCCTCAGCAGCAGGAATGAATGAATGACAGTAGCAGCTTCTCTTGATTAGCCAGAAAAGAATATTGTAGGCATCAGCAACTAAAACACCCCCTTAGGGGAGATACCTGGCCATCCATGAGCCTGAAAGCCTGAGTTTATATGAAAATCTATTTCTTTCAACTTCCAGGGTAGCTAAAACCTAAGTACCCTGCACATATACTTTGTTATGTATTTAATAACTGGACATGTTGCACAAAATAACCCTTATTTTCAACATAACCTGTCTTCAGAGTGAATATTTCTCTTCTGATGTGGGTAATATTTTCCTGCACCACTCTTTCCAGATTTCACTTGGACATACTTCCCATCTCCTAAGTCTTAACACATCTCTGCAGACTGATCACTAACTGGCGTGTGGTTGAAATATCTGTTGCTGATGTGCACTCCATTATTTGTGATAGCTTTACATCTCTCCTACAAGCATGCAGCATGGGCCTTTCCTGGAGCTGGAGCTAGACCTCTGATCTGAGAGACTGTGGTGCGTTCCCTCCTGACAGCTCTGTGTGATGGTTTCGGGAAAGTGAGGGGGCAAGGGGATTTATGGGTGGAAGAGAAGCACTCTCCATGGAGTGGATGAGCCGGTTCCTGCAAATGGCTGCAGCAGGAAGCTGCGCTGGAGGAAAGATGGATCCGTTATTCTGCGGCATTGCCAGTTCTCGACACATTTCCCCAAGGGGCTGGCACTGGAGCTCACGGCACAAAGCAAAGCACATGCCACTGGTGGGTCCTGGCAGCTTGCTCCAATGCTGCTCGCTCTCAAATACTCCCGTCATGAGAGGTCCGGCACCCCACAGCCGCTCCAGATCCCTGGGGCCTTGCAAACAGGGGTCCAGAAACACCAGTGTGTGTGAACAGCTCTATTACAGGCTATTTTAATTCAAGCAATACAATTGCTGAAGACAGGGACAGCATGTTTCCTGGGAGCTGGGCAAGGTGTTCCCCATAGCCCATGATATGATGCAGCATTTTTTTCACCATTATGGGGCACTAAAGCTAAGGGAAGAGCAACCTTTCTTGAGCTATTTTTGGCCATCTCAGAGAGAAAGAAATCTAATCATGGCCCCTGGCTTGTCATCTTTTCATGAAAGCAGCATAAGCCAGAGCTCCCAGCAAGCTTCATAAAACTCTGGATTTACAGGGGACCTTTCATCTACATCCATTTAAAATGTTCCCTGCCAGGCAACTGACTATGGACGGAAATCATCATTTGAAAAGATCTTACTTTAAGGACTGTACACAGTGTCTTAAATGCTGCTTCAGTTCTTCATCCTTTTCATAGGATTCCAGCATGGTGTGTGCATCATCATGGCGATAGCAGTAGATTTTATATGTGTCTTCTAGTGGGCCTTTAATCTGCAAGAACACTTCCCCTGTTAAGGAGAAAAACAAAGCATGTCAAGCCAGACAACAGCATCTCAGAAGGAGTTTTATTATTCCACCACATTAGCCGTGAGCTAAAAAGGCTGGCTTCCACTTTACTTCCCTTAGAAACGATCTTGCGTGTTTATGTGCATTATTTATTACATGTATTTCTCAGCTGCTCATCTTTGTCATAGCCAGGCACCATTATATCAGTGTTAATGCACAAAAATTCCCTCAGGAAAAGGCATGAAATCTCTACACCTCGCACCCCTTCATACACAACCCCCTAATTCACTGCCCCAGCTTAACGTCCCTTCAGTGGAAACCACACTGGAGAGCTTAACGGTTCAGGGGAGACCATTTTTGTGCTGTGGGCTGGCAGGAGGGGTGAATGTAAGCCTGATAATTTTCCTTTTGACTTTTTTTTCAACTGAATATGAACTTAAATGGGTTATAACAGGAATAATGACTCTATCTCCCATTAGCCATTTCACTTTTATCTATTTTGCAAAATCCTGAAATGGCAATTGTTATGGTCTAGAACAGAGATTTTTCTTCACATGACAGAGGAACAACCTCCACCCCTCCCCTAATTAAATAAAACCACCATGGATGACAGCCATTTTTATGCAGTATCTAGGTTTATATGCAACTGAAGGGGGAAAACGTTTCCATTTGAGTCCTCCACACCACCATTTCCCCCCAAAGAACAGCTGGGAATTTTAGAAGCACTAAAGTAGTCCTGCACACATTTCCCATTTAATTCTGGTGCCTAATTCTCTCAGCCTGAAACTCCTGTGTTGGTTTCTGTATATGTAAGAAATATTATCCAAGCAGAGAAGGCATGCTTCATCTCTTCTGCTGAGACATTCATTCGGTTCTTACAGCCTTACGTAGCAGCACCCTGATCAGCATCCTTGGAAATGCATGTCATAAACAACAGCAATGGTGAAAACTCCCATCTTGGGCATTTACTGAAAATTACATCTATGTGGCAACCAGTCCAATGTTTTATAAACATTCCTGTTGAGTTATAGCAATGATTATTAAAGTTAAAAGCCAAACGCCACATTAATTGGGAGCTCTCTATTTATTCACAGAGTGAGTGCCAAGCTGTCAGGCATCCTGCATGTTTCATCCTGACCAGAGTGGGCTGTTTCATAATACATTGCACTGAACTGCTCCATCTTAAAGTGAAAAATGATTCAGTTACCACAGTAACACAGCTCTGGGTTTTTTCCCCTAGCAGCGAAGGTTAACTGGGCTGTCTAATGCATGTTGGTTTCAAGGTGTGAATAAGGGAACAACAATGACGGACCTAAGACCACAAGAGTTGATTTTAGTTACTGTAAGGCCACAGTCAGAAAAGCACCAGCATCCTATAGTTAAATGCTCTTTAGCTGTCTGTCTTCTCTGTCTTGTGCTTAATGCTAATGCTGATGGCTATCAATGCACATTACATCCTGACTTTCCCATGAACTCTCTACACAGGCCTTTATTAGCCAACGGTGTAAGGGGAAACCTTAACAAGCTTTCTCTTGATCCTGCTCCCTTGGCACCTGATTCTCGGAGATGCTGAGCTCTCACAGTTTTCACTAACTTTAAGCAGAGCTCCAAGTACTTAGCACGGCCTGTACTATGCTAAGCCCTCAAGTGAGGTTACGTTTTCAGTAGCAAAAATACAAGCTGTAGACTTACAGCTCATTCCAGCATATACTAGAGGCTGGAAATTATCATTCTCTTCTCCAGAATGAAAGAGATGAGCGAGATCTGTTCACTGATGTATTGTGCCACAATGACAGATACTTTCATTGATGCTCAATGATGAGAAAAATTATGTGCTGATTTCACAGATAGGGCCTTTTAAAAGCAGATGGATTTCTTAAGCCTAAAGCCCTTCTTGGCTCTGAGCCATATGGACCGAATCAGATGAGCTTTGGGCATATCACTGTGGGAGCTTGCTTTATGGACCAAAACTACATTGTATTTGGGCACAGCTTTAAAAACACGGAGTCTTTTGCGCACTCTGACAGATGCAAATCTGCCTCATGTCTCTTCTTAAGTGTGCTGGTCATCAGTCTCAAAGAGAAAATCCCAGGAGGAAGGCTTGAGCGACAGAAACAGTTTCTCCCTGTGGCTTTCAGCAGTGCTTCCCATATGGACAGTAGTGGGAGAGGGAAGAAGAAGGGCTTTAATAGCTAAAGCCGGGCTAAGGATACTAAGTCTTCATTTTCCTCTGTATACAGTATCCAGAACAGAGAGGAGAGAAAATACAGGAGAGAACTAGAAAGGGTACTCAACCTCAGTGGCGTTTAGCATCAGAAGACCAAGCACCACAAAAGGTCCGTCTACAATAGCATTTTAGCTCAGATTAGGAGAGGACTTTTGAAGCCAGTCTCTCAGTATTCCTCATCTCCCATGCCTTGGCTGTGTGGTGGAGCCATCACAGACACACAAACCGGATCCCTTTGAGGATGGTAATTACCAGAAGATGCACTCCGAGGGCACATCTTATGCTGTCCAACCATAAAGGGCATCTCTCAATCCACAGAAATAGGCTGCAGCCAGTCTGAAGTAAAACCTCTTGAAATGTGTGGTATTGATACCAGGACCTTATCAGCAACTGTTTCACTCTACAAGTCTGTTCCTATTGGACATTACTACTCATCAATGTGGACATAGCATAAGATGTGGAGAACATATACTAAAATACAATATGAATATGAGCAACCACATTGTTTTGTTTTCACACCAGTGAATCAGCAGTTCTCAACCTCACCATGACTGGGTTGCCTTCCAAAGTAAGATATTTCAATGCAAGATGCTTACATACCATAAAAATGACAGAATATGATGGGTGTGTTAAACATTCTCAGCCTGCTTTTTCTATAGGCTGTCTTTAAAAACTTTTACACTGATTATGAAGATGCTGAAAACAAAATTATCACCTTGATATACTTTTAGAAGATGGCAAACTTACTAGTTTATTGCTTACAGTGATGCAATTATTCTCCCTACTTTTGTCTCAGCCTTTGGAAGAACATCTCACACCTTACTTGCCATCTTTTTCCCTGCCATAAGTTAGTCAACTCTGTGATCCACAATCCCATACATTTTCATGGTTCTTTGTCTGATTCTGGAGAAATACACCCTAATAGATGGATGAAATTGTTTGTCTTTACTTCTGCATGTGGCAGGGAACTAAAAGGAAGATTCTCTTGGCTGCGAGAAAGGCACTTCCTGCTAGAATAGAACATCGGTTATTAAGGGTATGACTCATCATGATGCACTTTTATTGAAATACCGCCAAACAACACAGTTGCATCAAACTACGTTAAGCTGTTGCCTTGGCAAAACAGATTGAGACATGCTAGGATTAATACTTTTCCCAAGCCTTATATGTTTTAATATCATGTTTCTTAGTCAAAAGGCAACCAATAATTTTTTATCCCATTATTTGCGAGAAGAGGGGTCCTTTCAATAGCATGTTACCTGTGGTATGTGGTCAGTTTAGGGAAGAAAGAACCTCCCTGACCTCTGAATCATGGCTGGAAGTTTTTTAAACTAAACTGGCTGACTTTGCACTGAAGCAAATTAAGAATTCTCACCTGATCCCTTAAGGTGGATCACCTACTGCCTCTGCACTGAAAAAGCAGTTACGGGAGAGCTGATGAGTAGTAACTTCTTAAACCTCTCCAGCTGTGCCAGAATGTCAAGTGTATAGATCATAGCCTTAATATTCATGGCCTGACCTGCAGAATGTGTGACTGTCGTGACATATCCAGCACCAACCCATTTGCTGAAAACACCCATGATCCTTACAGACATTCCTGCACAGATTCCCACAAACTTCCTATCATTTACAGCTTCCTTGCCTTTACTGACCACGTCCCTGTTAAGCACACCTGTTAACCACCTCTTACATGAATTATATCGCCAGTAGATACATGTTTACAATGCTTGGGAGGGGTGGGGTAGTGATGTGTTTATTATTACAATCATTTTTAATGCTTTTCTTGAATGGCACAATTATGAGTATGCAATATAAGAGTTGGTGTAAGCGTGAGCAGAGTTAGGTAGGCAATATCAAAGTAGATTAAAAGGATATTATCAGGATGTGGCATAACTCAGTGCTGCAGTTTTTACTCATGCTAAAGTCATTCTCTTCTTCCTTCCTCCCCCTCAACATGCAGATGGATGGAAAAAGAGCATCATGATCATATGAGTACAGTAGAGCAACTGGAGAGGTTTCACATGTCATTTTTCCTGTGTCATTATGGACAGCTTGTAGCATGTTAGCCTCTGAGAGTGGTACTAGTTAAGTCTGATGAGGGTAGAGGACAGGAGAGTGTTATGTTTATTCTTTCACGTAGCTTTGTAGAACTCAAGAGGACAGTAAACATACCGATTATTTGCATGGGTGGTTCCACATCTGTCGTGGCTTCTTCCAACAGTGACAGCAGTTTGGCTGATACTTGATGGACCAATTCAATGTTGCTAAACAAGCCATCCACGTCAAAGTGAGCAATCTAATGGAATACAAATATTAAGCAGCTACTGACGAAGGATAAAGAAGGACATTGTGTATTACAGACCTTCTTTTGCTATGCTCTGGGTGTTCAACACTCCAGGAAGCACCACTTCTGCAAAACCTCCTATAAACATCCTCCTTGTGACTTCAAGGACATGTATACAGTTTTCAGATTAGTATAATATGATTGACGCAGTTAACAAAGGGAATGTTATCAAGTTCTTTTAACCTTATTTTGAACTATTCCTAATCTGAAAGTGTTTAGCTAGGAAGGAAATAAATATTATCATCTGAATAAAGAAAAGATCCGTAGCTGGCTTTAAAATGTTTGTTTACTTTCCTACTGAGGAAAAGAACATTTGACAGTGGATTTGATTCCCTAATTACCAGTTGCTAACAGAGGCCGCTACATAAACTCAGACCTTGGTGCTTTGGTGCCAGCTACCAGGTACAAAGACTTCTAGATGGTGGTACCATTTAAAGTTAGTTGTCCTGTAAATCCAAAAATACAATTAAGATCATATAATTTCCACTAAAGCAAACACATCTACAATTCTGGGTATTAATATAACTTAAAGAGCTTCCCACAGAGCCTGGGCGCACAACACTGACTTCAGTGAACCTCACCAGTTTATACCAACAGAAAATTTGGTTCCGTGTCCCTACTCATTTTAGACCAAGTAAAAAATTTCCAGGACACATACTTTTCATGCAGTAGTTATTAATTTCCTTGCACAGCAGGGCAATAGTTAATATTCCAGGACAATTGGCAATAGCCAGTGGTAATGTGGTAATACTGAGAACAAAGGCAAGATTTTAACATCCATATTGATACCCTCTGAACTTATCTCTCCATTAGAAACATAATTGCTGACTTACATAGCAGCTTACCAGATGCCAGGAGGATCAAATTGCATGCTATTGTAACAGAATCAGAAATACACTTTCAGTACTAATGCAGTTAATTTCTTTGTAAGTATTACAGGGGCTAAAACACATTTTATCCCTTTGGAAATATGAAACAGATTCATTGCTAGGTCAATTTTCTAAATGCTATCCTTCTCTAAACACATTACAAAATTTCAGTACGGTAGTTTATCTGAGAACTAGCCTTAAAACCATAAAGCATTCTCGAAAGCCTTTCAAAAATGCAGAGGTTATTAAATTAAAACAGTTATAATCTCTAAATTACTTTTCTTGTATACATCTAGCACAGGACTTCTGACCTCCTCTCCAGCACAATGCCTATGTAGTATTGGGAACTAAGCTGTGCATGAACACTTACACACATTAATATGGTGACAAAGGACAGAATAAAAATGTATGTTTTCAGTTGGCTGGAAAAGAGCAAAAGAATACAGCACACTTGTCAAAAATCTCAATGAGTTCAACCAGGGAATACGCTTGCTCAGTGCTGGCCAGGCTGGGGAGGTAGTCAAGTGGAGACTACTTCTAAGTAGGTGAACAAGTGAGGAAGAAGAAGAAGAAGTCAAGAACTCCTTAAAGTGAGGAGGAAGAAGTCAAGAACTCCTTAAAGTTATGCCAGCAGATGCCAGCTCTCCTGAAAATGGGTTGGAACAAACTCTGACAGAGTTTTAAGAAACAAAAAAGGTCCTGCAGGAGCTTAAACAGCATGGGCTTCAGCTGTCCACAGCATTTCCTGGAGAGGCAGTGCCAATATCATCTAAAAACACTTTGGTCTCTGCAGCTGTATTTAGTCACCAATTTCATAAGAAACCCTACGTACAGAATACTTGGTTTAAGGTCTGTTTAAAATTATTTTTATTCTGTATTAGCAGCAGATATCATTTATGCAGCCTTTGTGAATGCTATGTTGCAGGCCCCACAAGTACTAATCTTTCTCTGGACAACCTCTTCTATTCCCAGCTTTTGGCTGCACATTTTCCTACAAATTGAAATACCGTTCAGGAAAAGGTGCTCTTTGAAGTCTCAGCTGAAAAAGAAAATGGGTATCATTGGCCTAATAAAATCTTTTGCCTGAAAGATAGTTTATGAGCCTTCCTTCTTAAAAGTACCTTTTCTGTGTAGAATGCAAATTTCTGAAGTGCTCACTGGTCTGTCAGGCATGGTATTTCTCCACCACAGCTGTCTGAAAGGCTTGATAAAGTCATCTTTACGACTGAATTTATCCTTGATGGGGAGGTCCATGCCATTCCAGGTTATCACGGAAAAGACTTGGGTTTTTTGTTTTTTACTGCTTTTGGAGGTGCCAGTAAAGGTCTGCCAGGGCACGTGCCAGGTGTTATAATAACAGAGCAGTATGGAGAGGTGGAAGCTGCTATTGCAGCCCACAAGCAGGGATATAGCATTCAAGCTGCCCTCTGGGCAAGTACCTTGATGCAGGTTTTATGCAAGTGCAGGGTAAGTGTCGGGAGCGTATCTGACTTCCCGCTCTCCTCACTACAGCCCTGGCACGTCCCTTTCTGGAAAACTAGCTCCAGACCTGCTCCCGGCACCATGTCACTCTCGCTCTGACACCTGCGCTCGCATTAAGATTATCCGCAAGCAGAACGTGGGTGAGTTGAGACCTTTGACGTCACCGCCTCGTCCTCCGCCCCCGGTGCTCACCTGCTTCTTCCTCAGGGGCTGAATCACTTCCTTGATGCAGAGATCCAGGTCGCCGATATAGTCTTTCTCCGTCTGCACGAGCTCTGCGATGATTTTCACCCTCTTGGCCATCATGCGTCTGCTAACTTGTTCTTCGTCCTCCTGCAGTGAAGTGGTGGGGGTTGAGGACCCTGCCTGAGGGGCCATTTTTTCTGTTTAAAAGAGGGAGATTTGTGAGGAGCGCTGTAATCCCGCGTGCTCACCCAGCTCGCCCTGCGCAACCGTGGGGGAACGTAACCGGTGCCTGTTGGAAACTCCCAAGTCGCCATAGGGAGCAGAAAAGAAGCATAAGAAATGGCAATCCCAGATCAGACTGAGTGTCATCCCATCTCCCTCCTCTAAAAGCGGACACAGGTTTGGCAAAGGAAACCGTCCGTTTGGTGCTAAGGGGATAACCCATCACCGGCTCCCCTGGCTTTGATGTTATGTATGTGGGCAGAAATTTTCCATGGAGCACAGGAGTCTTATCCTTGTCACACTGAAATTCAAGGATAGCTGATGCCCTTCTACTCCTTTGAAAACAGTCTCAGCCTGACACCTATTAGATTTGGAGGATGGGAGAAAATGTGTTCCTGTGGAAGAAAAAGGCTGTGTTTACCATAAATAAGCTTCACTGGAATAACCTTTTTTCTGTACAATATAAAGTTGAGTCTGGTCATGGGAGGCTGAGGGCTGCAGGTACTGGAAGACTAACTTTCAAATGAAGATAATGTTACTAATGATGATGATGAAACCTGTAATTCTGTTTAAAAAGTTTTCTTTGAAAGAAGCAAAGGAATTACAGGAGAATATGAGAAAACCTTTAATGATCAATAACAAACATTTCTTGGAACAACAGAGATCATTGGGATTGGGAAACTCTTAACTGTTTTTCCATACTTAAGACCTAGAATATCCAATTTATTCCAAATACATGGAAATGCAAGCAAGTCTTCTACAGATAGGTAATTTATGTATGCTTCAGGACCTGCACACAATCTACTTATCTGTAATGATGATCTTTCCTTTTGCTGGTTTGTAAGCCAGCCTGCAGACATCTATGTCAGCTGTACAAAGGGCACTGGATTTTATCTGTGTACACTGACAATCTGTATTTTTTGTTAGGAAAAACACACACAGGAAAAAAAAAACAAAACAAAACCCACAAGTGAAAGATTTCAGCGGCTATTCTGGTGTTTTTCTGCTAGCCACAAGATGGTGCAGAGTACCAACAAAGATGGACATGTCATTACCGTACTGGTGTCTGCATTACCCAGGTCGTGCTTTGACAGCATGGGCTTTTATTGCTCAGCAGCAAAGGATGGGAATCTCTGCTGAGGATCAGACTGCTATGCCTTCATGTCAACTTCTTGTAGGGAGCATACTGTATAATGAGGCAATAGGAAGCAGTATTTGATGCTTTGCTCGCTGATAGCCAATACTGAATATATTGCAGTTGTTTGAATTGATTGTCAAGGGTGAGGTCACGAGTGCTCAAGTGAGCGTCAAACAGCGTGCAGCTCACCTCTACAACACTGGCCAACGCTGTAGGTGATAACCTGGAGCTGGACTTGTGGGAAAACCAAGCAGCTTTCAGGAGAGAGGGTTTTGAGCCGTCTTCCGCTGAGAGGTGTAAAATGTTATGAATCCAATGTACCGTCATCCTCAACCCCTTCTACAATTATGCTGGCCACTGATATTCAGAATGGACAGTTTTGTTATTAATGCTTCTCCCATCAGGTTTTCTAGTGAGACTGATGTGACCACAGTTAATGTTTTAAATAGCTGCTTTTGGGACTGCACCTCTGCCTCTGTACTGCTAGTTGTAAACAGCAAGGACAAGGAACCCAAACAAACAGGGGAGAGGGGACTGTTTTTTCAGACATTTTTGTATTTGGATGTACTTTTTACCTCTGAGTTTTTACCCTTAAAGTCTGTGTATAACACAGGTATGAACATTTTGTCATCAAATTTGCACACAGACAATAAAATAATGAGGATATCTCCTCTCCGCAAGGCTTGGGCTATCAAAAGAATTTTAAGCTGAATCTTGCCCTAGTGAGTCCGTGCTGGTGTGAGTGCATGGACTGCACAGGAGCTTGCACTGCTGCAGAGCTCATCTACCAAAGGTGCTGTGTGCTGGACGAAACAGACTCTGCCCTTTAGCGAAGGTACCAGTATCACTCCACAGCTCCCTCTGGGCAATTTTCTGCTAGGGTTGCAGAATGAGACCACCTTGCCTGCTGCTTACGTGCTAAAATGGCAGGTACTTTTTCCTCTAAAAAACTTACAGTATGTAACCACGCTTATAAATTCACAAGGAACCACATGAACAATCCAGTTCTGATCCAGTTCTGCACCAAAATCAGCATTTTTCTTGAGTTTGGGTGTGAAAACATTTGTGTGTATGTGACTGTATGCGAGAGTTCAGGGCGACTCCTGAGAAAGTACAGGGAGGACCAGACATCCTGGAAGATCTCAGAAGTGTTGTTTCATCTCACATGCAGCACTGCTACAATATCAGATGAAATCTGAAGGTAAACACAAGATGCTGTGCAAAAGAACTTCCTAATCTTTTGTACTGCTGGCAGGGGAGGGCATTATATGAGCAAAATAAAGCCACTGTATCCCACTTCAGGCTTGAAGTCACAATCCCTCGAGAGGCTGTTCTTTCAGCTTATGTCATTAGATTGTCCTGATCAAATTTGATTCTTGAATTATGTCAGGGCTCATCTATTATCCTTATTGCATGATAGATAATAATGCCAGGAAAGAAAAACTATTCTCAACAGGAGGAAATAACCATGAGAAATACCAAGTAGATGCTGTTTCCTTATAGAAAACATGTTTCTTAATAAATGTATCCTTTTGTTAAAAGTAATATAATTTTCCATTTTCACTCAATACATTCACTTTTTCATTTCAGGCATGTCTGTCTCTACAGAATGCAACAGCAAGATCCTGAAGTGATGATTACAGCCAAAACCTGTGATTTCATGTTCAGCTGATTGCTTTTGACCAGTTTGAGAACATTAGTAGCTTGCTGAAATCCTTGTGGAGTAAGTGAAAGTTTAATGAATGTACAAACAGCAAGTGCATATCTGGAATATAAGCAGACTCGTTTCTACCTGGTAACATGTACCAGCCCCAGAATGGTTTGAGAGAGAGGATTAGCCAGAAAAGACATTGCTGAGGATTAACTATTACAGTAAGAATTTGGCTCATTTGTCCTCAGAGATGCTTGGTTTAGAAAAAATAAAAAAACTGTCTGTTGAATGGTTTATTAGACAGCTGCGTCTTAAGACCAGTTTACAAAAAATGTAATTGGTACTTTTAGTAGGCATAAAAATATAAAGGTAATAAGGTAATGTTTGCAATTGTTGCTTTGTTATGTCAGTTATCGGCAGGAGTCGCCTTTCTGGAGGACTTTGCTTTGGAGAGGAAAGTGACGACTTTGGTTGTCCTGCTGTGTATTGAAGTACACGGCTCTAGTTGCACAAAACAAGAGGTTCACTATGTGATGACATGGACAAAGCAGCCCCACGTCTTACAAAAACAGTTTCTTGCAAGTGTGAAGTCTAAAAATATCCCCCAGATGGAGACACCCAGCAATGCAATGAGAGCATGGAGGAATAGAGCTTGCAATGTGCAAATGCAGCAGCTCTCTTCTAGGCCCAGGGGAGGTGTTGGGGGATCCACAGCAAGTGACCGGAGGAGCAGCCATAGCAGGTTTGCAAGATCTATGCGTGTAAATTTCCCTGGCTTTCCCACCTAGAGAGTGAGCAGCTCCAAGAGGTCTGCTCTATCCATCCTTCCTCCCAGGTAAGATGCTCAGGTTGGATATTACATTTGCCCTTGGGGACGGGACCCATTCCATCTGGAAGTGAAGGCACTGGCACAGAATATAGCAACAAATAGAGTAATGTTGGTGCATAGAGTGAGTAACAGGCCTTTTCATTTTTTAGGCAGCATTTGGAGGACGCCAAAGGAATGCAAGTTCTGCACTCACGCTCTGCCAATACAGGGATTTTGCCTGGCGCAAGGGAGCAGTGAAGGCAAAAGTTATCAAGGTATAACAAACAAATTACAGCATTACTGTGTTTTTACGTGTGAACCCTGAGTCTCACACCACCCTGGACAAAATTACTCCTCTGTGAAAGCAAGTCCTCAGATAGCCTGTACCCTCAGATAACCTAGGTATTACACACAGGAATGTACACCAGCTTTTATCAGCTGGATTTGGGAATGAAATGCAGGCAGCCAAGTTCAAGAGACTGCTGCTGTGGCAGCTTTCCTCTCCCCCCTTGCATCTACCCTCACACCGCAGCCCCGGCTCTGCCCCTTACACCCCTGCTTCTACTGCGAGTGCCAGGAAAGCTGCGGGGCACAGGCACACTGGGATCCTTGGAAGTGAGGGAGCCTGAAATGGGACAAGCAGTGGGAAAGGATGGAGTGTCCCACTGCATGTGGGAGAAGTACATCACATGAGCTAATACACAAGGAGTTTTACTCCCGATACCCATCCCCTTGTGAGGGACCACTTCATAGGGGTGTCATAGTTTTGCACCAGAGTTATTACAGCCCAATACTGTGCAAACATGGTGCGAATTAGATCCACTGAACTCCAAGTTGAGCACTGAGATACAAAAGGATTGGGAGAGGGTTGTGGAAAATGCCTTTTCTTCTTCTACTCACAGACACACATAACAGCAGCATTGTTCAGGAGCGGGTTTGTTGCACACAGGCTGGGAGTTACACATGCAAAAAGCCCCTTTTCCGAACACAGGAGGACAACACCGCAGGACCAGAATGACCTTGCACCAGTCTTCCTGGGCAACAGGTTCGCTCATAAAATCTGCATCAGAGACTTCCTTGCAATTAGGTCATTCAATGTTTGATCATTTTTCTGTTCCATAAGGTACAGAAAATATTTACATTCAACACACAAGTTCTTTCTTCAATTCCTTGACAGCAGACCGCTTTAATTATATGTGTGCTGACAGGACTACAGAGAGATCCCATGTGACCGCGGTGGAAGGGAAGAAAGCTTATCATCAGGTGACAGAAGAATGCCCTTATTGTTAGTGCCAATACTTACAAATAAACCTTTCCAGTGTGTCATATACCGGTATAAATATACCACTCCTGTGGCATTGAGCTAATATGTTACTGAAGTAAGAACCAAGGAAGGTCTGCATCTGAACCACTTCCCTCGGGACACATGCGCTTCAAGATTTGGCACAGATTAACTGTACCAACTGTGAGCTGTGTGACTCACAACACAAAGTATGCCAAATAATAGAACATTTGCTAATATGGTCAGAGAAGGATCCATAAACCTCCTTGGGTTCTAGTCTTCACTCCTTTACCCCGGTTGCTGTTACTAGTTATGCTGCAGTAGCTCCTAAGAGTCCTAAGCCACACGGCAGGACTTGCTTGTGCTAAGCGCTGTGCAAACACAGCAGCACAAAATGGATTCTGCTCTGAAAAGATGAGCTTGCTTCCCAGCCTGGCTTCCACTGCAATAAGTTCAAGGATTAATTCCGGCTTTATTGCAGCGCAAGTTAACAGAATTAGATGCTCTGAGCTTAAATTTGCACAGGAGAAAATAGAAGTATTTGTTAGATTGTGATTTCTCATCACAGAGCGCAGGCAGGTATCTTCATCAAGCCATCTCCTGCACTTCAGGAAATAATCTGGACTTTTACTCCTTACTGTACTTGAGCAAACCAGCTGCTCCAAAGATCAATACATTTCACAGTGAAATGGGATATTATCTGCATTGTAGTCCATAGAAAGTTAATCAGTAAGTACAGTGCAAAGCAAATAAGGAACTGGGGAGAGGCGCGGAGGATCTTTACTCCTGGCGGGAGGTGCCGAGAAGCTGTGGGCATGGGCAGCCCACGCGGGAAGAAGCGGTGTGCTCTGCAGGCAGGGAGAAGGACGGGATGGAGGAAGGTGCCCTGCTTGTGATGGAGCGAAGGGGGATGAGTTGCATCTGACCAGGCTTTTGTATACTAGGGGATAGCAACTTTCCAGGAATTTGTATAATTTCACAGGTTTCTGCGTCATTTCTGGTGTTGGTTATTTCTCATAACTAGACACAGGCAAAACGTGAAATTCGGGTTCAGATATGAGCTCTGAGGCAATATATTGCAGCAGCTGTGCAATTGGAATCACTGTATCTATTACAGGTATATCACTGATGTATTTTAAATTGAAGCATGTGCAAGTCATTTAATAACACTGTAGTTGACCCATTCACAGCTAAAGTTATAAGGGAGTTAATATGTCATAGATTTGTAAAACAAGAAGTGTTTTCAAAGCATGCATTGTCTTGCTGAAAACTGCAAATGTGATCTCTGATTCCTTCTGGAAACCCGCCATTTTCTATAGCTCATTTTTCACAGCAAGCACAAGTTTGGTATATGATTTTTAACAAAACCCAACAATCTGTCCAAAACCTAACAGAGAGTGAACTATGTTTTAAATTCCTTTTCATGGTCTGCCTTTTTTGGTTGATAGCATCTATCCCCATGATACACTGTCTCTTAATCTGCCCTGATCTTGCAAACATTTATGTGCCAATAACTACATCAAGCAAACTCCTCTTACCGAAATGCATAGGTACTCACAGAATGGTAGCTTTAATATAGTTACTTTTACAGCTGCTACTGATGGATTTTCACTGCAGAAAAGAGACCAACTCCTACCAGCTAAACAGCTATGGATAGTACATTTGAAAACCGAGCTGCTAAATACCATTTTGTGCCATTGCTTAAGGATAGCAGCAAGTTCCTCATTCCTCTTGAAAGGACATATGTGCAGGATTTTCTAGTGAATGTAGAGCAGAGCACTGCATAGAAATATTACAGGAGTTCTGTCTTAGCTCTTATAATGATCCTTGATATTATTTCTGCACCCACCACAAGTGCTAGTGAATATATCTTCTTTAAACCCATTCTTCCCTCTTGAGACAAGTGATGCTTCTGTCCAGTTGATGGAGAACTATGGAAGAAAAACATATATTTGGCTTGATGAAGGTATTCCTGGACTCATCCAAGAATGCAGCTACAACCTGAGTTCTAGATGACTGCATGGTTGTATCACTAACCTGCCATTTGATAGCAATCGCCTTATTTTCCCCTATCTAAAATGGGGCTGCAGGCATTTGGTTATCTCACAGGATGAGTTGAAATAGATCCACTAATGCTTGCCAAACTCTTTGAGAATATAATGGCTACTTTGCATCTTACTTCCTTTTTAAATAGAGTAAAGCCAGGAGGTGTTGCATGGCCATTCACACCAGATAAGGTATTGAATAGATGTGTCTAGTATAATAATTAACCATGAAAATGCTTTGCTGTGTTTTTAATGAATCCTTTTAAAGTGAAAAATGCTTGCAGAAGTTTGCACCTTTGACAATGCTATTGTGATCATGTTTGTAGACTTACAGAGCAAGCCACCTTGATTACCTTGGAGATCTGGATGGTAGGCTTCCTTTCTCACTCTTTATAGAAAACATTTTGGAATCTGTATAAAACAGCAAAACTTAAGAGAAATCCAAGGGCAGAAACTGAATTCTCAGAAGTTTCTATGCCTGACTGCTTGCTCACTTGTTTTTGGTTTGTTTGTTTGTTTATAGGCTTTTATTTGGGGACCTGTATTTCCAGCACACTGAGCTGCACTTTGAGCATATACTTCAAGAGCTGCTGGAAATGGCTGGGGGGAGAGAGAGGGCAACAGCCTGGTTTCTACTCAGGGAACCATTTAAAGCACGCAGAGGGCTGGAAGGGCCCTCGAGAGATACCTTGCCCAGCAAATGTGCTGCAATGCTGATGTAGGCACTGGGGTGTAAAGACACCTTGGTCCCTTGTGTTCTGCCTAGGTTGCCTGCCACTAGCAGAGATGGGGATCCTGCAGCCTCTGACTCTTAGCTGTGGAAACCTGTCCTGCTCACAAGAGATTCCCCTCTGCAGGGTTTGCTCCTGTTGCATCTCCTTGTCTTACACGTCCTTGTCTGTGCTAATACCTACCACAGCTCTGCAGATTGAGTGTTAGAAAACATATTAACAGGGGACTACAGAAGGGAGGGGCAACTAAACACAGAGCTTTTCCTCCAATTCACATGGGAAGCAAATGCAAATTATTACCATTTGTATCTTTTTGCAAAGCATTTACCATTCCAGGGTGATCAGAGAATCCCAACCTGGCAATACACAACAGACCATTTATGTCCCCAACAGAGCTGTTGGGTTTTCTTACCAAGAATGGAGAACTCAAAAGCTTTGTTCCAACAAAACCACTTCTCTCACCTTGGAGTAAGCTGCTTCACATCCAAGCACTAGTGAGAAAAATGAAGAACATAGAGGCGTATAGCCATAGCACATCATCAGCGCTGGCAGGTAGCGCATTAGGTCTGGGTTCTGTGATCGTTATCAGATTCAGGCACATCTAGCTCAGCAAAATTTGATCCAGATCAGGCCTTGGCACACAACCGCATTTCCTTCTATTGTGACTGTAAGTACAGTTCATAGGAATTTCTACCGACTTTGTATTTTCACTCTGAGGACAGGCAACCTCTAATCCAACATAAAGCCTCCAGGTCCTTGTTAACCCATCACCATTTTTCTTGAACAAATGTGAGCAAGCAGAGTGAGCTGATACCAGACCAGTGTTTTGCAATAGGTGCTCAGCGGCAGACTCAGCTGGTGGCAGGAGCTGTAAAGCTGGATTTACTGTCTCTTTGGGCCACTGCCATAAACATAACCTCACGCTCTGCCATGACTACCTAGGCTTCCCCCCTCCTTTGCTCCAGATTTTAAACAGGAGACATTCATGGCATGAATACACCTGACACTGGACAGAAAGATCTCACACTTTTTGCTGAATACCACTCTGATAACCTTGACCCCACCTGGGCAACCTCCTTCAGGAGTAAAAAACTGCTGTTTTGGTGGGACACGTGTCAGGAGCTTGCCTGCCCAGCCACAGCAATCCGTGCTTGTGCCCTGAAACACCCCCACCAAGTCCCTGCAGCATGTGCCTGATTTAACTGAAAATTTTTCATCTTCTCATTGATTAGCTATCACGAGGAGGGAACAGCATAATCGATGAACTGCTCTGTTGTTCTCAGCGTATGCAGCCCCCATAGAAATCCTGTTAATTTCAGGTTTATTATTTTATTTTCTGCTTTTATTGTCGCTCTGAAGAAATGCTACTTCCTAATTAAGTGCATCAAAACCATAATACAGCAACCCAAAGTATTTTCCTATTTTATTTCCTCATAAAGGTTTATTGCCGCACGAGTGACTGTCACTAGGCAGTTATATCACTATTAGTAATAGACACTTATATTAACTCAAATGCCGCATTTGTGATGGGACCCTGTTGTTCAAGACCCTGGAAACCCAAAGAAATTCATCAGTTTGTGTTCCGGAGCACTCCCAGAAAGAGCCATAAACATTCTTCATGCTTTTCCTCAATTTGTGACATTAGCATTTAATTTTTGATTGACAAGCCCAGTACTGACGTACTTTGCCAATTTCTGGTCCAGATGCAGTTTGGTTATTTGAAAAGAAACCCTCTCCACAATGGTACAATTGGAATCAGCATATCCATCAAAACATGTATTTGGACTTAGTTCAGTTCAGGCTCGTACAATCTGAGCAACAGATAAACGCATTACAGATCCTGGTATTTTTAACTGAAAGAAGAAACTGCCTTTGATGCTTCTAATTACTTAGCATATACCCCACTTGATACGCCATTCAAAGACAGACAGGATGGAGCCATCGTATTTTTCACGTTACTGTTTGCGTCGCAAATGCATTCTGGTGACGAGCAAGAAAGATCCCGATCGCATATGCATTTTGCAGGAACGCACCAAAAGCTTCGATCGCATTTGCGTCCTGTCTACACGACTTTACGTAGAAAAACGAGGGGGAAAATGTCACACCCTGGAAGCGGGGAGCAACGGTGAGAGGGGGCAATTGCTCACGCCAACTGTGAGCACATGGGGGCAGAGGCTGCCATTCCCTTCCTGATCTCGAGGTTGCAGCCTGGAGGGCATTAAGGGACCACCCCAGTCCGGAGCATCCCAGCAGCAGAGCACCAAGCAAGCTTCCCCAGTACCTTGTAATTTCTGGCCGTACTCCGTCCTGTCCGACTGACTCCTCCGCAAGGTGCCGTGGTCCCCGGCGGCGGCGGTGCTCTCCACCACGGGCTCCGTCCTCCTCCTCTCCCCCATGTACAGCTTCTTCCTCAGCAGGGCCAAATTCCTCCTCCTGCCCCCCGCGCCTTCCTTCCCCGGACAGTCCATGCTCGCCGTGGCCAGCCTCGCTTGGGGGTGGCGGTGGCAGCGAGGGCCCTAGCCTGATTCTCAGGGAGGTGACCTCGCCGCCCGGGTGAAGGCTGGTTGCTTTGGGCTCGGTTTTGGAGCAGGGCTCCCCAGGCTCTGCAGGGCCCCGGGCTCAGCCCTGCCACCTGTGCCGGAGCAGCTCCACCCCCGGGAAGCTGACGCCCCGGGCAGTGTTTGCATTCACCTGCCTTATGTGCGAGCACGCCTGGCGGGGCGGGTTTCAGAGCCGGCCCCAAACCGCAGCCGTTCCCAGCCTCTTTCCCCGCTTCAGGGTATGCCGCTCCTCACCCCGCCGCGGGGCCGTGGCTGCCGGCACCCCGAAGCAGAGCCGCATCCTCCCGGGCCGCCCTTGCCGTGCGCTAGCAGGGAGATGCCCGAGTACGGCGGGACACGGCCACGCTTTCACCGGTCACCTTCCCTCTCTGCACCGCCGGGGCAGAGGGCAAGGCAAATGGGAAGGGGAGGCCAGCCACCCCCTTGACCCTCGCTCCTTCGCTTTCCCCAAGGCTAGTGCCCAACCGGCAGCCTGGCCAGGACCCCAACTCCTCGCCTATCGAATTGCACCGGCCAGGCTCCCGACCCCACTGAGAGGTGTAGCCTTTAGGCTGGAAACTCCTGATCTACAGGTTTGCAGGGAGACCGATCACCCAGGGCAATGAAGGAAAGGGCTGCGAAGGAGATGGAAACCCCTCCGGGAGGTGGGAAGCAGCGTGGAGCTGACGTGTTCTCAAACCGGGCTGTGTCCTGCTTTACACCACGCGCAGAGAGGCGACACGAAAGCCTGCCAAGGACCTGCGGAGGCTGTCGTAACAAATCACCGTGCTCTGATGGCCGAGGAAGTGGACACCAAAACACCTGCTTGTAATACCTCTGGATCGGCCCCTGGAAGAGATCTTATTATCCTGTCTGTTAGCAATGGTCTCTGGCATGCACGCACTGCCTAGTGATCCTCCGTAGCGCCGGTCTAATCAAGCTCATGTTAAAACAGCAGGAGCTCCTGGCATCTAAGCTTGGACAGGACTTATCCTGGGAAGAGCCCCAACAGCCATCAGCAGCAATCACTGCCGCTGCTGTGATACCCACCCCCTGCGGCCCTCGCTGCCCTAGGAAACGTCTGGTGAGAGCCCCATGGTGCAGCCTAATCGGTGTCAGCCTCACGCACACTCATTGCCACAGCATCTGCCGGGGGACACAACTAATGTCCCTCTGACATACGCTGGCAAAGCGTATTGCTTTAGCATTGCCACACTGTGTCCCTGAAGGACTGCGTAGTAAGAAACAACAAGCGGGGATGCAACATAGTAGTGTAACCTCATTTCCCACTTTTATTTTTCTTTAAGAAGCTGGTCCTGTGATGTAACCTCCTGATCAAAGCCCCTCATTTCTACCCAGCATTGAAAGGAAAAGGTTATGAAACTGTTAAGCAATTTACTACGTCACATTGCAGCACTGTGCCAGTACTGCACAAAGTGTCCAGCCCGAACACAGCCTCACAGAGGAATAAAGTGGCAAAGGGAATACCGGGAAGACTTTGTGCTCGCACAGAGAAGTCATGTATTACGTAGGCAATCCATGTGTTACATCTCATCTCCTCTTTGATATTCCCTAAGAAACTCTTTGTTTTGCAAGTCAGACCACAAAAGTTCCTTGAAAGGCAAAGCAGTGGTGACAGTGAGGAGAGGCATAGGTAGGGACAGAGCAGTGACACCCTTGTGACAAGCATCAAAGAGCCAGCAACAAATAAACAGATTAAGGCGGGAGTTGAGGGAAATCAACCATCCCATTTCCTTACACTGGAGACTTCCTGAGGGTTTTTTTTTTGAAGCAATGGCTTAGCGTTCAGCTAAGGTGGTAAAACTGGTTTAAACAGTCACCACCCCAACTGCCCCCCTTTCCCGAATAATTTTGTTCCCACTAGCATTTGGGATGGAGGAACTGATCTGGCTGGAAACTCCCTCCCTCCCCCCTCTCCCCTGGGCTATTTTCCATCTGGATCTGTGTTCCTGTTTAGTTCATCACCCAGCTACGCAAGCAGTTGTGGCAGCATGAGGCAGGGGATGATGCAGGGGCACATGTGAGCAGCTGTGGGTAGGGCTGGTGGTTGCTTAAGCCAGCACTGCTCAGAGAAGGTATTTCCCCCAGCCAGGATTTTATGGTGTCGTGCTTTTCAGAAGACACAGGTCCCATCATTTATATGAGATTTCCTTATATTTATTTAAATCAAGATGGTTTGGGGGAGAACTGGGGAATATATTTTGGCTGGGTGGAGGTGGAAGAACAAACTTTATAAAATTCTTGGCTTTGTAGGCTCTCTGCCACATATGCAGAGTTACAGCCAAGATAGGATATAGTAAAGTTTGCTCAGGTGTTTATTACGACAGCAAACTACCCACATGCAAAAGTTGTCTTCCTCTTCCTCCTCAACTCAGTCACAGGGTGTGAAAAGGTATGTGTTCGTTCAGCAAGGGAACGGTTGCAAGGAAAGCCGGCTGTGGTTTGCTGCTGCCTTTGTACTTGCAATGGTTTACCTGGCTTCAGCTGGCTCCACTATTTCTGAGGCGGCCAGCAGCCCAGAGCTAGCTTACACCACAGTTTGGAAATGTAGATGAGTACTTTCTGCAACTTCAAAACATCTCCTCTGTGCCACTCAGCACAGAAAAGGGTCAAAATAGCATGTCTTCTGTAATACTCCAAGTAAGGGAGACGCATTCAGGACCGGTGGCTTCCCTATCGCCTCTGGAGGGAGGGATGTTTGAGACATCCTGGTTTATCCATCGTCACATTAAATCCAATGATTGTTTTACACTAGTGGGCTGCGCCAGTGCAGTCAGTAGGAGGAATATGTAAAAACAATCATCAGATGCATCTCTGAGCAAGAAACCCCTATAAACTCTTATCACTGTTTACTGTACTTTACCTGGACTGTAACAAAATGCCACAGAAAGCACAGTCAGAACTGCATGTGAAGTACTCAACTTCACTTGCCACTCAATAGTATGAGCAACCCTCTCTCAATTTCCAAATTACTCCTGCTCCGTTCTGGCCCCGGTAAGAACTGATGGTTAAGCAGCATCAAAGTCACTAATCCATAAGACAAGAGGGAATAGTTGGCATCTAGGCGGACAAAATGCTCTTTTTACAATTAATGTGAAAATCTCTTTAACCGCTCTATGTTCCGCTCATTTAATTCTACAAAGCAAACTGGAACCCAGTTGATGTGAGCACTCACATAGGAGTTATTTGCACGGAAGCCACCCCGCTTAAGAGATAGAACAGGTGCTGGTGTCAACACAGAAAATATTGGCATTGTGTTCCCAAGCAACTGTATTAGACACATATAAGAGCTTATTGTTGTACGGTCAATGCTAACATTTATCTCAGTCCTGAGCTATAAACTAACCAGAAGCGCCATCAAGACTGATGGCCATTAAGTAAGCAAACAGTTATTTGTTTTCTTGTAATACCTCACAGCTGTTACAGAAGATTTCTTTATAACTTAGTATCGCAGAGCATATATGAAAAATGCTGGTGTGGCCTGACTACCGTGCCTGTTCCCTTTGAGTGGAGGCACAGACCACTGCTGGAGTCCTATGTCAATGACACCAGACTGCCATTTTGAAGCTCGTTCACTGCAATGGCCAGCACAGGCACCAAGCGAAAAGAGAGTCTCAATACACAGCTGCAGAGTGACTTCACCGGCCGGCACCAATTTTGCCCACGTAAAGCGATTACACTCAACAGGCAGTGGAGAAGCAGAAAAGTACCATGGTACTGCTGCAGAAAGCTGTCCTACCCTCCTCACAGGCGGAGCACGACAGCAAAGAGCATAGATGTTTTTATAGCTCCCGGCCTCCATACGAGGAAGCCTAGGTGCATATAAAGACAAGCCCATATCTCTTGTCACTCTGCCTCTGTGCACAAGTCATAGCAAAGATGTCTTCTGAGGCACAAAAAGTTGAGGCTTTGATAACAACAATCACACGTAAGGCCCGCCAAGGACTTTGAGCACTGGAAAGTTGCTAGTACGTACACCCTACCTGTTTGCAGCTATACTGGTAAGATAAGAACAGAGTGGCAGGTGAGGATAAAAGCAATAAAAAGGGAAGGCTTAAGGACAGGTAAAACTGGAGTCTACACATTGATTTTTCACAGTGAATGAATCAAAATTACTTTGAAATATACATAGAAAAAAAACTTCAAACACCTTTCAATAGTACAAAAAGAGAAAAAAGCCTGTCTTGTAGGTGAAAAGCTATTTAGTGTGGCAGTGTCACCTTCACTCCTACTGTTGATCTTGCCAGACTGGTGATTCCTGTAGAGAAACAGGTCTTTAGAAGTAAGTGCACAGCGATAATTTCTTTTAGCCCTGTCTACAGTGTTTCTCGTCTAAATATTTGTAGGAGAAATTCATAAAGAATATGCCTGCCAGGGCTCAGGCTAGGCTGTGGATATTTTTAAGAAGGGATGGCTCAACCTATCAGGCTATGCAATCCATCTCCTCCGACTGCTGTGATGCTTTCTTACTCCAAACAAAGCCTCTGCCCCAGTTTACAGACAGAAAAGGCTGACGCGTTTTCTGCCTACAGAGAGTGACCCGGCTTTCAAACGAAACACCTGCAGAGAGGATAGGGGATGCTGAGAGAAGGGTCAGCAGGGCTCAAATTGTCCTCGCAGCAGCAGTGGGTCTGTCACTGCCAGCCGGGCTTTGTGTCGGTCTGTGAAACAGGCTCGGAGGCAGGCCAGCTCCCAAAGGCGCACATCTAAGGGCAGTGCTGCTTTGAAAGGGCTAGGAGGTGCGGAGGAGAGGGGAACTCGCTAAGAAACCCAGCAGCCCTTTGATTTCTTTGGCATTACAGCCACACAGTTATTTTCTAAGGAAAATAACCTGACTCTGTTGATCAAGTAGATGGCACTGTGATATCAAAGCTAATGAGGAAAGACAAGCACGCGAGTGAGGCACAGATAAAAGGACAAGAAGATGAATCTTCATTATTGTTATGTTTCCATGTAAAATAGGGGGGGTGTAGAAATTACCAAAGATGAAATATTTTCTGTGGGATTCTTTGAGAACCTTATGGCTGGCAATTCACAAATCAAGAGGGGAATGGAGCCTAAAAATTACTATCACGAGCAATAGACGAGATTTTCCTTCTAGTTCCCTATCTTGAATGATTATGGATTTGCAGCTTCGCACTAAAACTTCATGTTTCCAGACAGTATTTTTATAGCTGAACTGGAACCTTTTTCTCTTTTTGTGTATGTGCACATATGTGAAAGAATGAATGAAAGAATGAACAGGAAAGAAGACTATTTGGTGATTTCTGTTTTGTGATGGGGAAGTTCCTTTGGAGTAACAAAGATAAGAGTCTTAAAAAAAAATTAAGTTTCAGTTCATACTCACAAATGAAGTTTTGGTGGGAGTTACAGTAGGCTGAAAATCCTTGGTTCATGGGGCTTAAAACGAACTCAGTACAGATGCCCAGGAGGGAAGAAGTGGGCATATCCTACAAAGCTTGACTCAGCCACAGTGTCCTGGCCTCTTGATAGGCAAATCGCTTTCTAGGCAGAGGTCCAGAGAAGTTAATCTGGCAAGTGAATTCTAACACACATTACGGGGAGCCTAATGAAAAGCATCATTAAAAACAAAACTAACAGCTCAGAGAAACAGTTTATTCAAAGAAACCCAGGGTATAAACTTGACGTCTTCCCATACACGATAGTGAATATCATGACCAAAACTGAATTTTGCGTAAATACAGAGGATCAGCCTTTTTAAAGCAATAGACTTACTGAAGTGAGTTCACCACTACAAAAAAGGGTTTGAAATCTCACCCAAGGTACTTAGTTTCTTTGGGATAGGAGCCTCAGTCTTTATTCACATTGGGATGGAAAGTAACATAACCTGATAAACCTAATTCTGGTTACTGAAATACACAATTTGTTCCTTTTAGTTAGATGATGTAGTCTTTTGCTGCCATCAGGCATTTGTCAGCACGTAAAATGCAAATACGTGTGTGAGTAGGCTGCACGTAGACGTTCTCTCCCAAATCCAGCTGTGCCAATGAAAGAGATTACTGACTTGAACAACTCGTCCTCCTCCTGCTGCAAACTGTCAGTGCAAAGATCTGCAGGAGTTGTTCATGCTTAACTTGCTTCGGCTGAAAAGCAGCCTGACTGACTTAGCCCACGTCCCCAGACTGCCTCAGCTAGCTTTGCTTGGCTTGATCTGAACTAGGGAGCACTGATACGAGCTGATCCATCAGCACGTTGGTGAGATGGTGATGGCTGAATGAGTGTAGCACTGGCAAGCAAGTGAAGGCAGTGACCTGTTCCACAGAGGCGGCTGGACGAGGAGGAAGGCTGTCCATGGCTGCTGGCCTTTTGCACACGGGTAGCAGCAAAACAGAAGGCTGGCAGGAGCTGGTTCCTTCAGATTAATGGTTTTATAAGCCATGGATGTAGAAGTTATATTAGAGCAAAAGTTAATGATAATGATGTGATCACCAGTCAAGAGCAAACGCACTGAAATAGCACATAGTTGTACTAATGAAGTTCTTCAAAGCCTTATTAGCTGAAAAGATGAAAATGATTTTCATTCAGGAGGAAGGGAAACTTTTTTTTCAAAAATTGTAATGTTTTCTGCATTTAATTTGCACAGCATTTTCATGGGCAAAACATTCATTTTATATATATATGCTTGTGTGTGTATATATGCAAAAATATATATAAAATAAATGTAAATGTACACTGCAGAGTACAAACTTTTAAAGAAAGGATGTCCTTCAGGCTTAGGTGATTATACTGCTGCTGAGTTTTTGCTATACTCCAGTGGCATTCTGCTGGAATGAGATTCACCCCTGTGCAGAGGGCAAGCATAAAACCTAA